CCAAGAGCTTCACCTCCCCTTCCTGCCTTTGTGTAATTCCCTCCTACATGCAGGCGGGACCTAACTCGCTTTTAGCCAAAAAAGTATAGCAAGATCATGGAGGTGGCTCTGTGATTATATTACTTTTTGTTTGAGAGAGTGCAAGCGAGCAGAGTAAGAGTGGGAGAGGGAGAAGCAGGCTCCCTCCTGAGCACAGTCCGATGCAGGGCTTGACCTGAGGACCCTGGGATCATGACCTGAGCTAAGGCAGACGCTTACCTGAGCCACCCAGGTGCCCTGATTACATTACTTTTTATTATGCCTCAGCCTAGACCCCTGACCGGGGCTACAAGTGGCCCCTGCTGGTCTCATGAAGTAAGCTAGCGTACTGAAGGACCCCGGGAGGCAAGGAACCAGGGATGACACCAGTTGCTGAGGGCAGACTCCAGCCAAGCACCCAGCAACAAACTGAGGCCTTCAGTTCTACAGCTCTGAAGACATCGATTCTACCGTCAATGTGAATGAGCTCTGGAAGCCTGTTTTCCCCAGGTAAGCCTGCTGATGGGAACACAGCCCGGTTGACCCGTGATTGCAGCCTCACGATGCGGAGCAGAGGGCCCGGTTAAGCTGTGTCCAGACTCCCGACCCAAAGACTATGAGATAATGTGTGTGGTTTTTAAGTCACTAAATTTGTGGGTAGGTTGTAATGTGGTACAGAAACCCATGTAATACTTTAGTTTTCATTCAGCTCATCCTACCCTTAAACCTGTTTTCTTTGCTGCAAAACAGTGGTCTACTTTTTTGTTGTTGTTATTTATTTATTAGAAAGAGGGAGAGAGAGTACAAGCGAGGGGTGGGCAGAGGGAGAAGCAGGCTCCCCACTGAGAAGAGAGCCAGATGTCGGGCTCTATCCCAGGACCCTGGGATCATGACCTGAGCTGAAGACAGACGTTTAATGGCTTAAACTGAGCCACCCAGGTGCCCCTACGTTTTTTGTTTTAAAGGCTTTACTTACGCAAGCACATTTTGGGTTAAGAACAGAAGGATAGGGGCGCCTGGGTGGCTCAGTGGGTTAAAGCCTCTGCCTTCGGCTCAGGTCATGATCCCAAGGTTCTGGGATCGAGCCCCGCATCGGGCTTTCTGCTCAGCGGGGAATCAGCTCCCCACCACCCCCATCTGCCTGCCTCTCTGCCTACTTGTGATCTCTGTCAAATAAATAAATAAAATCTTAAAAAAAAAAAAAGAACACAAGGGTAAAAAAGAATTGGAATGTCCGCCCCATGGTCACCACAGCAGCTAACTCCTATCTGTCTACCATGGCTGTGATGAGGAAACAAGCTGTTTCCAGGGGCGTTAGGCACATGAAATGCCCCAGAGATGTGAAAGCACTTTTTTAAGCAAAGAGCTGTGAAATGGCAAGCTTTGCCACTATAGATATTCCTCTAGACTTAGAGAATAATAAATTTTTGTATGTATGTATGTGTGTTCTAATAATAAATTTATTTAAATAAGTCTAGAATTCAAAGCCAGAACTGGAAAGTGAGTTGCAAACCAGATATTAGAAATTCATGTGTTTACATTCCCATAGGTGGAAAAAGTAATCACAAAATTGTCTCACGTGTTGTAACCAGTGAAGTCAAAAGTAATACATAATTGCAGCAAGGGCAACGTGTAAAGCATTTCAGACTAAAACAACTAGTCACCATTGCTTATGGTGGATATGGAAAAAACCTATGTCTAGACAAAATTAGTTAATTTGCAGGAAGGGAAACCACATCTTAAGATGGGTATGTGTCACATCTTAATGTTTCCCCTCTGGTTAATTTTCATTTTGAAAGATTGCAGAAAATCCTAAAGTTTTTGAGTTGTAGACGGAAAAATTAAAAAATAACTTGTCAGAATTTCTGATAGGGAAGCAAGTCACTAATCCACTAATGGGGCAATTTAATAACTTGCATTTTATTAAAAAAAAAACCCTTTCAAGGGGCGGCTGGGTGGCTCAGTGGGTTAAGCCTCTGCCTTTGGCTCAGATCATGATCTCAGGGTCCTGGGATTGAGCCCCGAATCGGGCTCTCTGCTCAGCAGGGAGCATGCTTCTCTCTCTCTCTCTCTCTCTGCCTGCCTCTCTGCCTACTTGTGATATTTCTCTGTCAAATAAATAAATAAAATCTTTAAAATAAATAAAATTTTTAAAAAAGACTCCCTCCTCAACACTGAAGATCAAGTTGCTCAAAGGCTTAGCTCTTGGCCGCCTTCTCTCCCCACTCATTCCTTACAAGAACTTATCTTGCTGGATAGACTTAAATACCATCTATGTATTTTTCCAGTCCTAATGACTCCCAGTTCTTATACCCACCTGCCTATCAAACATGTCTACTTGCATAAATGTATCTGCTTGGGTCTCAGATTCAGCAAGCCTAAGAACACAGTTGTGGACCGACCACCACCCCAAACGGGCTCTCCCAGTTTTCTTGAGCTCAGCACGAGACACCACTTTCCCCCGGAGTTACTCTTGACTTCTGGCTTCTTACTCCCCTGCTCCCGCGGGACACGAGCAGTTCAAAGAGTCCTCTCAGCTCTACCTGGAAAACCTATGCCCAGTCCTACCACAAGGCACTCCACCCCCACCGCACTGCCTGAACTACCTCTGCCTCCTCCCCATAGGTGTTTGCCACAGAGCAGAGAGTCATCTGTGAACCAGAAATCAGACCTGATCACTCCCCCGGCTTCCCATCAAACTCAGAATAAACGGCGCACTCCTTTCCAGAAGGTACTACCATTTACTCCTCCAGCATGTAAGTTACGTGGGAAAGGGACGTGGTCTTACTCTCTGCTCTATCCCCAGGGCCTGCAGAGGTAGCCACTCAATACTCATGAATGAGTGAGTTTTGCTCTAACAGAGAAGGTGTTGATGAGCACTACGAGGCCCTTACCTAGTTGCAACAAAACTCTGAAACTTAAGGGTTCGATACTCGAACAGTAGACCAGCCTAGTAACTGAATGCTTTCAAATGTGAGCTGCGACTTTACTTTTATAGTAACTTCGGGTGATTATATATTTCTTGCAGAGGGGCTAGAGGTATAAACCATACTTGAATAAAATTCAAATCTTAAGGACAGATGTGTTATGCTTTGTGACAAATGCCCCAGCCCTGCAGCTCTCTGAACGCCGCAGCTGCCTTTTGTGCGGGGCTGGTGTGCGGGTGGGCAGTGAGGAGTGACAAGCGCCTGGGGTGGTCGTCAGACCTGCGCGGAGGCGAAGCTGGAGAGCAGCAGGGCACACAGGGTCTTACCTACCGGGCTGCAGACTCGCAACAGCGGACAACGGCAGTCTCTTCCACTCGCTTGGGAACGCTTCCTGTGGGAGCACACCGGATGGGGCAGGCGGGGCCGAGGCACCAGCCAGGCTGGAGGCAGCCACTTGAGGAGGTTCCAGAAGCAATCCAAGCAGAAGCCTATGGCTACAGTTAGGATGATATCCCTTTGGGCTCCGGTCTACACGGTGTAGCCACAAGGCCTCCATGTGTCTGCTCTACTCCAGGGCTGTCTAGAAGACAGCTTTGGCAAACTATCACTGATTTTGCAGATGCTTTTTCCTGAAGATCTTTGTTATTTCATCATCTGCAGAAGTCTTTTTTTTTTTTTCCCTAAGATTTTATTTATCTGAGACAGTGAGAGAGCGAACGAGCACAAGCTAGGGGGTTGGCAGAGGGAGAGAAACAGACTCCCCACCGAGCAGGGAGCACAACTCGGAACTCGATCCTAGGACCCTGAGATCATGACCTGAGCTGAAGGCAGACGCTTAACCAACTGAGCCAACCACCCCCACCCCTTTTAAAAGTCATCTACAGAAGTCTTATTCATACTTCTGACCTATTTTTCTTTATCCTTGTAACAGCAGCCTGAAATACAGCCATTAGCCATTTGTTCGTTATGTGGTGTCAAGTTTAGGAAGACTTTTACAGAGTCTGAGCTGGTCCAGTAATAGCCATGAGGTTCTCAGGGGACAAGGGGCAGAAGCAGGCCAGAGCCCTCCCGGGTGCTCGGTAACACACAGCCACCTCCCCTTTCAGGACACGTGAAGCTACTTCTCTTTCAGAAGTCTGTACCCCTTAGCGGGCCACTCAAACTATTCCTGAGGTCAGGAGGCAGGTGCTATACATTATCCTCCAACTCTTGCTGTCTTGCATTTAAGTAAACCTCCTTCTTTAAATGGAAATCAATGCTAAGAACTCCAAGGCTCAATTTAGAAACACCAGAGCCCTTCTCCAACCTCTTCTGTTTCTGTTCCAAATTAGACCCTCCAGTCTTATGGAATCCTAATGAGTTTTGAACGATAAGACTGCTTTTAGCAGTCAGTTATAATTATGTACTTTCAGGAAGAGAATTCCTCTTACCACTTCCACTTGCCTCAGCTTTTAGTAAGAATAAAATACTTTCCTCAAAATCTAAAAAAGGGAACCATGACCAGGGATTAAGTGAATATAGTATCTATTTTTATTATGAAACATTAAATTTTGACACATTGCTTCATTTGCTTTTTAAAAATCTATTATCTGACTTAAGCCTATTCAGCAAAAATGCCAATAAATTATATAAATCATAGTTCGGGTCTTTTTAAAACTAGGTCCATAATATGTTTCATGATAATCAAATAACAAAACTAAACCTGAATTGTATGAGCTGTTCATTTGTAATGTTTTAAAGTTTAGCTTAAAATAAAACCAAAGCCAACCACATGCCAATACGGTGTCGCCAAAGTTTCTGGAAACACCCTCCTCATCTCTGTGTGCCAGTATCCTTCCACTTCTTCCCTGACGTACACAATGCAGCCAGATCAGGTGTCAAGGCACTCGTTCTACCCTGTCCTAGCCTGCCCGTCTTAGGAGTCACACCGGCTGGAGGGCTGATGATACACCCCGGTCTGTGTTCTCTTGCCTTTGAGTAAATCCACTTCTTTAAAGGGAAATCATTAGCTAAGAAGCCCAATACTGAATTTAGAAACAGTGATTCCAATACATGTTAAATCAAATGTGTTAGTATTTAAAGTCACATATTCTGAAAAGTGCAATTAATAGACAAATACAGAACTTATGTGAACAACCAGTAAACTAAGATAAACAGCACTGCCACCACACGCTCCAAAATGGTGCGTTTTTACTGTCTGAAGTTCTTTGCAAATTATCTTTTGGGACAATTCAGATGAATTTCAATAAAGGATGTGTGTTCTGCAAGAAGTCAGTTTTAGGGTTTCCAACATGGGTGGCATCATTTAAGAAAAGTACATCAATAGTCTTACTAGTGAGTGTTTTCAACTTGGGTTTCTAAATCTTTATTTTCTGTGGAGGCAAACCAAAGCACTGTCTTAAGACTCCATCTTCAAAGTTACAATACAAACTCTATCACTCCTAGAGGTCTGAAGGCTAGATCGGCCCCTGGTCCTTGCCATCGTCTTCATCTTCATCTTCCTCATCATCCTGGTCTCCGGATTCAAGTTCATCCTCTTCTTCTACCTAAAGGGAATATGCACATTTATCACTATTAACATCTGATCACTTCGCATTCAATGCATACTGACACACAGTCTCTGATAAATTCTTTATTCCTTCCAGTAATTGTCGATTACAAGCCATCTGATTTTCTTGATTTACTGCTCAAGGCTCTCTGCCATTGTTTTTAAAGATTTTATTTATTTATTTATTTATTTATTTGAGAGAGAAAGAGAGAGAGAGAGAGAGAGAGAAGGAGAACACAGAGGGTGAGTGAGAGGGAAAAGCAGACTCCTTGCTGAGCAGAGAGCCCGACTCAGGGCTTGATCCCAGGACCTGGGAGATCATGACCCAAGCCAAAGGCTGACACTTAACCGACTGAGCCACCCAGGCGCCCCCCTCTGCCATCATGAGACGAGATGGACAGGTTGACTTGCTGACAGATGGCCATACCTCTCTACACACAAATGTGGATCAAACATGACAAAAGAGAATGGCACATGTGGATGATGAGAGTCTCGTGACCACAGGAGCCAATCAGTTCACCTGTAGGCTCAAAGCCCAAAAGAGAAGAGTTAACAGATGCTGGAAACGGTGCCTGGGTATCCTAAGTCGACTCACTGAAAACCACAGGAGAAGAGCAGACGATCCTGCATTCATGGACCGACAGTTACGCCCGTGACACGGATATGGAGGTACAACACTGCCACGCTACAGTACAATTCTTGAAAATATACCCTCGATCATTTCTGGGAACATTTCGGTCTTACCGGATGACCAAGCTCCTTGAGTTTATTCTTTAACGAAAATATTTTCTGGTCCTGATCAGCCAACAGCACCAACAGATCGTCCTGTTCTTTTTTGGAATCTGTAACGTCCATCTCGAGCTTGTTTTTCTCATTTTGTAAAATGGCAATGGTGCTGTTAGAGGCGTCCAACTGCTCTTTGATGGCGCTCCGTTCCTCAGACAGAGCTTTAATTTCACTCTGGGAAAAGAAAGGGGAAGATCAACCCATTTAAGATTAGTATTCACTCTCACAAGGTTTTTAACAAACAGGTTCATTCTTTCTCTCTCTTTCTAAGATTTTATTTATTTGACAGACAGAGATCACAAGTAGGCAGAGGCAGGCAGAGAGAGAGGAGGAAACAGGCTCCCTACTGAGCAGAGAGCCCCATGTGGGGCTCGATCCCAGGACCCTGGAATCATGACCCAAGCCCTAAGGCAGAGGCTTTAACTCACTGAGCCACTCAGGCGCCCCTCTTTCTCTCTCTTTTATTTTTAGGTTCATTCTTTCTGTGACAATCTGAGGATTTTGGGGGGGCGTGGAGGTTTTGGGGATAGAACACACACATACACACACACTCATCCAGTAACATGAGCATTTATGTTAGGCTGTATATCAAAGATGGTTATTGTGAAAAACAGAGTTTAACATCCAAAAAATAGTTTTAAGTAGCTATTTTTCAAAAAAACCTAAGAGATAATACCATTTCAGATAACCAGAGGAACAAAATAAAGACACAAAACATTTTACAGGCGAAGCCTGATGGGCATCAGAATTAGAACTCAGGATAAAAACACTTTTTTTTTAACCCAACTTCATGCATACGATCAAATGGGAAAGAAAAACAGCTGCAAATAAAATCCACGGCATAAAGATAAAATAATCTGACTACGCTCCAAAAGACATCATCACACAGGTTGTATTCATGCCTCTTAGTTTTATTACTTTCTCCTCACTCTTCTCTTCATGTTACTTATTCTGATTTCTCTGTCACACAGGCTGGCAGGCTCTTTCATGCCTGTGTCCTCAGCCTAATGGAAAGCCTACATGTGGCCTGTATTTTAGCCAAAGCTATACTCTTTACTTCTTTTTTAAAAATTTTTTTAGATTTATTTCTTTATTTGAGAGAGAGAGAGAGAGAGAGAGAGAACATGAGCAGGAGGGGCAGAGGGAGAGGGAGAGGATCTCCAGCAGACTCTGCGCTGAGCGTGGAGCCCAATGCAGGGCTGGATCTCACGACCCTGAATTCATGACCCGAGGAGAAACCAAGAGTCGGAGGCTTAACCAACTGCACCCCTCAGGTGCCCCTGTACTCTTTATTTCTTACTGTGATTAAAGATTGGCAAGAAAACTTAACTTTCGGGGTGCCTGGGTGGCTCAGTGGGTTAAAGTCTCTGCCTTCAGCTCAGGTCATGATCTCAGGGTCCTGGGATTGAGCCCCGCATCGGGCTCTGTGCTCAGCGGGGAGCCTGCTTCCCCCTCTCTTTCTGCCTGCCTCTCTGCCTACTTGTGATCTCTGTGTCATAAATAAATAAAATCTTAAAAAAAAAAACAAAACAACAACTTTCAATGATTTCTACTTTCAAAGTACATTCGTACCCACTCTTACTTCATGTATGTGGTATTGTTATCTGAAACGGCATTTAAAAACCTTCACTCATGCTATCTTCACTCATCCAAATAGCAATGCACACGTTGTGAGATAAAATTACACCCTACAAATTTGCCTCATAAAGCTAAAGACCTGAGACATCAAATAAGATCAAATTTCCTGAGTTCATTTTATAGGATATGCAATAAATCAAAGTTTCACCACAGCGCAACCTTTAACTCCTTCGTCTCCTGTAACAGCGCCGACAGTCTGCCTTCCACGTCGGTGGTCTTTGCAGCCGTTCCAGCTTCACCCTCTCCTGGTGCAGGAGCTGATTTCGCCTGAAGGTAGAAATTGGAGGGAAAAAAAGTTTCTTTAAAGCATAATCAGTGTGAAATCCCAAAGGTGACTTAATTTTCTCGCTACTTTGAAACTATATTTCCAGTAACAGGAAGCAGAATTCCTTATGTACTGACACATACGCTAGAAAGGACGAGCGGTGCCTATGGTGGAGCGGGAGGCTGAGGCTGAGGCAGGGGTGTCGCAGCATCAGATCTCAGCGGAGCACGAGGAAGGCTGGGTCAAGCAGCCTCAACATCAGACCACAGCTATAACAGCATTTACTAAGCAGAGAATATTTCTCAGAGCCCTCTCCTCACAATACTTCTGCAAGTGAAGTCCACACTGTCATCTCAGAGAAGCAGGTGGGGAAACTGAGCTGAATCCCATTAACTGGTGAAATATAAAGATTCTTTTCTTACTTTTTGTTTTTTTTTAAGATTTTATTTATTTGAGAGAAAGAGGGAAAGAGAGAGCAACCATGGAGGGGAGGAAAAGAGGAAGAAGGAGAGAAACTCAAGTAGATTGAGCAGAGCACGGAGCCCGATGACGTGGGACTCGATCTCATGACCCTGAGATCACGACCTGAGCCAAAACCAAGAGTCAGACACTTAACCAACTGCACCACCCAAACACCCCAAAATGCAAAGATTTTCTTAAGTGCTCCAGGAAATATTCTTAAATCATGGTTTTCCAATCTTCCCTGCCTTTTTTCTACAAAGAACTGGGAAAGAGGGTGTTGACGTAACAAATACCTAAAAATGTGGACAGGATGTCATCTGAGGTACATGTCAGATGAAGCCTAAACTGCCTTGAAGAGACCGTCAGTAGAAACATGGATGATAAAGGCAATTCTGGTGAATGCTCAGAAAAAAAGGGAAATTAGAGAGAAAGCTTCTATGGTCTTGGAGAAAACATATCACCATGGGGCATCTGGGTGGCCCAGTGGGTTAAAGCCTCTGCCTTTGGCTCGGGTCATGGTCTCTGGGTCCTGGGATGGAGCCCCACATCGGGCTCTCAGAGAGCCTGCTTTCCCCCCACCCCCCACCTCTCTCTGCCTGCCTCTCTGTCAAATAAATAAATAAAATCTCAAAAAAAAAAAAAAAAAAAAGGAGAACATCATCATGAATAGAATGTTGGTAGAAATATGGAGGGAAAGGAGGTTTTGGTGAGGCCCCGAATGGAAATGAAGAACACGTTACTGGAAAGTAGAGGATGGAGATCCTGATTATCAGGTGTCAAAGAAACAGGCTGAATTGTGTTTTAGTGCTTTGTAGGAAGTAGAGCTTAAAAGCGACAAACTTGGATATTTCGGTGAGGTGATTTCTTTTTTTTTTTTCTTAAAGATTTTATTTATTTATTTGACAGAGAGAGATCACAAGTAGGCAGAGAGGCAGGCAGAGAGAGAGAGGAGGAAGCAGGCTCCCCGACAAGATGAGAGCCCAATGCGGGACTCGATCCCAGGACCCCAAGATCATGACCCGAGCGGAAGGCAGAGGCCCAACCCACTGAGCCACTCAGGTGCCCTCAGTGTGGTGATTTCTAAACAAAGTGTTAGAGGTGTGGCGTGGTTTCTCCTTGAAGCCTACTGGAAACTGTAACAGGAGAGAAATAACTTGAAGAAGGAACGTTAAGCAAAAGGGAATCAGAACACGAAGATTTAGAAAATTCGCAGCCTATCCCTATCGCAATAAACAACAAAGAGTGTTCTGCTGAAATACCGAGGATGTGGCCAGACCACCTCCATAAAGAAGTTACTCGTGTGGCTCAGGGACCTAGTCAACCACCTCGGCAGAGGCTGGAATAGAGAAAGGATGATCCGGATCTTATCTGGCGACTTGGATCCCTGGGAATGGCATGGGTCACTAAGAAGGTTTTTGACAATTCTAGACCAGCAGAAAACCTGTCAGCTTGGACTGACGGACTGAAGGGGACAGAGATGGGATAAAATCCAAGATACCAGCACAATGAACCATTTAAATCATTGATTACACTGATCTGCTGATTCTGACTCTAATGTGCCTGCCAGCCTGGCCCAGAAGCCTGGATGACCAGAACTGTGGCCAGTGAGTCACCTAAAGGGAAGGTGCTCTCCAACACATTCACTTCTGTTACATTCACTCCTTTTACAGAGTGGCTGAGAAAGAAGCCTTAACCTTGTGTTTACTATCTTGCAGGAATAAGAAAGTAATAATTAACATACAAATGTTTCGGTTTTCCTTAACAGCTCCTGCTTTTCTGTCTGCAGTCTGGTGATCTCCACAGATTGTGAGTTTAACTGAGACTTCAATGTTGCCAGCTCCTAGGAGACAAAAATAATTGCGTTGTAACATGAAACATCATTAATTTCAGCAAGGCAATGTGTATTTACAGGAAGAAATTTAAAATTATTTCCTTTCTTGGTCCCTCTCTCTAAAATCACAACTTCCAGGTTTTAAAATCTAATTCTAAAAAAACTGTCCTTGAACTTTGCATTCAAGATAGAGAATTAAGCAAGTTCCTTATACATATTTTCACCTCTGCTTCTTCCTGAGATCCCGTGTAAAAAAACCGTAAGGTGGGGGAAGAACGGAAAGAGGAAGGAAGGGAGCGTGGGGTGGGGAGAGAAATGCACAAGGACAAAGAGAATAAGAGAAACGAACAAATAAAATTGGGGAATTTCAGAAAGCAAATGTCAGTGGTAAGGGACGGCAGCACACCTGAGAAAGCTAAAAACCTAAAGTGATGTGTGGACTTGCTACCTGACATGCGGTGCCTGCCTACCAAAGGGCTTGGAATCTGGCCCCACCAGGTATCTCTGCAAGTGTGGGTAAAAATGGGGTCAAAAACAGCAGGGTTGGTTGAAGTCTGCTTAGGAAGACCACTGGATCCCTGTTTCAATCTCATGCATGTTCCTCTTCTCTGGCCAAAAACTAGACATTTAGTATTTGGAAAGGGAAAGACAGGACATATTTAGACCATAGGCCTCCTAACATAGATCAAAGTAGTTAGTGCTGTAGGGAAAAGGAGGGAATTAACTGAAAGTTTATATATCATTAATGTTGAAATTCCCAACGTTCTTGCCCTCCCCCCACCAAAACCGCCCAGGGGTAAAAACCAATTATAACTGTGGTTCTACCAGGGGCATCTCCCTCATACAACTTGACCATGTCTGCAGACACTGGGTAAGCGGTGGGTACGGTCATGTAAAAAACTCTTTTGTTCTCTTAAAACTTTCTTTCACATACATATGAGGCTTCCCTTTGATGTTTTATTCAGTTATCTAAATGAGTTACATAGACATCCAGGCTATGGACAATTTTAGTTCTCTTTTTATACAGGATTTTGCTATATAACAAAACAGTCATTTAAAACATCTTTTTAACAATATAAAACTGATAAAAAATAAATTACAGAAAGTAAAAATCCAAAGGCAATGCTCTTTAGAGATATCTAACTTAAAAAAAAAAAAAGAAAGAACTATCTAACTAAAGTTTCACTGGGAAACACAGAGTAAAATTTTTACTTGGGACTTATAAACTAAGCTCATTTATAAAAAACTTAATTCCCTTTAATTTTAGTACAGTTCTCGTGTAGGCAGGCTTCAGAAAACAAAAGTGGCATGTGAATTTTCCTCACACAAACTTGTAACTTAAAAATCCTTCGCGACAAATGATCTTTTTTGAAAAGACCGATTGTAGAATCTACTTTGGGGTTCATGGGCATTATCAAAATGTGACCCAGTTGCTCTGTGTACAGTTATCCCTCTCTCCGATCAGCAATGTCAGCAGGCTAGGATCACGTGCCTAGCGGAGAAGCCAGTCAAGTCCTACGTTTGTGGGGCTGTTCACTTCCTCCTTCAGTATTACTTTTTTTGTTGTTTTTTAAAAGAAACAGAAGAAACACATGTTCCTTTTTATAAGAAAGGAAGAAAGGAGGGTAGGACAGAAGAAAAAGGAAAGGAGGAAAGAAAAAAATTTTATAAGGAAAAAAACACAACTTATTTAGGGATAATATACTAATGAGCATCTGATACTTTTCTACACTTTTCTTCCCAATACTTAATTCTATATGTAAGTGGTTCTTTTCTTCCTTTTCTGGCTCTTTTCTCAAACAAACACATTTAATATTCTCATTGGATAAAGTTAAATTGGCACTACCTAGTTTCACAGGAAATTATAAATATTACAAATAACCAAGTAGGAAAAAGTTTAATTTGCTTTTCTAGATATTATAAATTATTACAGCAGAAAAAGTCTGTTTTGCTTTTTTAAGTAATCATCTAATTGAGATAAACACAAATTTATTCCCTTTTCCAGTTCCAAAAACCAACATTCTTCTGGACAGAATGGTTTAAACACTCAATACCTTTAACCATGCAATTATCATGGTCAATAGTATATGAAAATTAGGCATAAGATTTTCTATCTTCGTATTTGCAACTTATAAATATACTTAAATTTTCCTTAACTGTTAGCTCACTGATAATCTAAAAATAACCCAGGTGAGATGCTCAAATCTGTTAAAAAGAACACAATTAAAAAATAAAAACAGTTAATAAAAAGCAAAATACCATTACCATATAATTAAAAAAGCTTCTGGACTTCCAAATAACTATCTTCACTATCAAGTTTTGCTTACACTAACAAAGCAGTTCTCAATTAATGAAACTACATGGCTATTACTCTATTATAATTAAAACAACAGGAAATAGAACTTGGATCAAGCTGGAAAATTACCTGTTTTAATTCTGCAATTTGTTCAGAATCTCTAGCAGAAGCTGTTGCTGAAGACTGTTCATTTGCGCCAGGCGATGCTTGGGAAGATTTCTACAAATAGCACAGAAATAAAGTATGAAATCAATTCAGTCTAAAGAGACAGGAAATAATAGAAAACTGTACACATATAAGCTATGCCTTATAGAGGTTTACCAAAAATTTCACATCAACATTTTCGTTTTTATATCCAAGATAAAATTTCAACCTAGCACACAATGTCTACAACTTTTCCATAGCTAATAAATTTATACTTATACCAAGTAATTTATTAAATCTAAGCACTTATCTGAGGCCATATGGAGAAAGAGCATCAACACAGGTATTTACTGAGTGATTTCCATGTATTAAAAGAGCTTTCTACAGAGTAGTCATTTAATTCTCACAGTAACAAAACAGGTATGACCACTACCAGTTTATAGATCAGGAAACAAGTTTAAAGAGGTTAACTAAGTTGCTTAAATTCAATTAGTCAGGAAGTGCTGAAGCTTAAGACAGTCTGACACCAAAGCTCATATTCTAATTTTTTTCTTTTTCTTTTTTTTTTTTTTAAAGATTTTATTTATTTATTCGACAGAGATCACAAGTAGACAGAGAGGCAGGCAGAGAGAGAGGGAGAGAGAGAGAGAGAGAGAGAGAAGCAGGCTCCCTGCTGAGCAGAGAGCCCGATGCGGGACTCGATCCCAGGACCCTGAGATCATGACCTGAGCCGAAGGCAGCGGCTTAACCCACTGAGCCACCCAGGCGCCCTCTAATTTTTTTCTTAAGTAAACTCTGTGCTGAACGTGGAGCTCAAACTCATGACCCCGAGATCAAAAGTCACATGCTTTACCGACTGAGCCAGCCAGGTACCCCCAAAAGCTCATATTCTAAAACCTTACTACAACCCTTTGGCTTAAGGGATCCAGGAAAATCAACAAGCAAGATAATGAGAATTCTTCTTCTTTTTTTGTTTTTAAAGATTTTATTTATTTATCACAAGTAGGCAGAGAGGCAGGCAGAGAGGAGAGGGAGGGAGAAGCAGGCTCCCCACTGAGCAAAGAGCCCGATGCGGGGCTCGATCCCAGGACCCCGGGATCATGACCTGAGCCAAAGGCATAGGCCTTAATCCGCTGAGCCACCCAGGTGCCCCATGAGAATTACTCTTGACTTCTTAAACTTTTTTACCATTTACTCACCAAATTCTCAATCAGAGAGTCCTTTTCAGCCAGCTGGCTTTGTAAAAGTTCCTGATTACTTTTTAATTCTTCTATCTCTTCTCGTAACCTACCAACTTCTTCTGGCTGAACGCCATTCACCTGAGTCCCATCACTGTAGGAACCTTGATGCTGATTATCTTTTCCTATGAAGACAGGAACAAAATTTGAAAAGCCAGCATAAAACTTAAGTTTTTCATTTCCTGAATGAGAAGATTTAAATATAAAAATATAAAATTTCCTTAATTCCGCTACTTTGACAGCACTTTTGTAGACACACTTCATTTTTGCAAAACAGTGCATTGATAGAAATGGGAAGTGATGATATTTTCAGGTTTCTGGGAAGAAAAAAGCATAGTCTTACTAAGACTAAACTGCATGGTTTGGTGATCTATAATTAACAATTGCAGTAGTTTCCAGGCACCTGGATGGCTCAGTCAATTAAGCATCCAACTCTTGGTTTCGGCTCAGGTCATGATCTCAGGGTCATGAACTGAGCCCCATGTTGGCCTCTGTGCTCAGTGCAGAGTGCTTGGGATTCTGTCTCTCCCTCTCCCTCTGCCCCTTGCCACCTCTCTAAAATAAATAAATAAATCTTTAAAAAAATTAGAGTAGTTTCAATTCCAATTCGGTCAATTAATATGAGAGAAAACAAAATCCCTCTTAAAATCTTCACAAAGGAACCGCTTTCTGTACATACTAAAATCACTGACAAATTGTTATAAATAAGGAAGTGAAAGAGGTAGTTTTTTCTGAAAATTTTAGTCACCTTCATATAAATAAAACTATTTCTAAATGGCTAGGATTCCAATCATAAGCACTACAGGATGATACTATTTACAAGCATTTGACTCTTACCATGTGCCAGGAAATGAACTAGAATTTAATATATATTATTTCATTTAATTCTCAGACGACACAGATGCTCTTATCAGTTCCATTTTGCAGAGGAGGAGATAGAAAGGTTAGAGAAGTCATTCTCAACTGGCTATACACATCAGAATCACCCGGGAAGCTTGTAATAATTATTGCTTGGCTCCAACACCAACTAATTAAATCAGACCCTTGAGTGGGATCTCTGTATGGGCGGCATTAAAAACAAAACTAAACTAAACAAAACAAAACAAAAAATGGGTCTCAGGATATTCTATCTAACTGCACTCAAGGCTGAGAATCAATGGATCAGACACTGAAACAGGTAGCAAAGAACTTGGACTTCAAACTCTGATTTACAAATTTGTTACAGTGATTAAGGTTAGAAAAAAACTAGTCCACAAGAATAATCTATTTGATTCAGTCCAGCTTTTGGGGACACTATAATAATTATGGCTAGCTATACCTACCTAGCTGTACTTTAAGAAGATTGTACTGATCTTTGTGTTGCTGAATCTGAGATACTTGCTGTGTGACTGCCGTCTGGAGCTGTTCATTTTGACATTTTAACGTAGAAATCTGCTGCTTTAATTCCTCAAGTTGCAGATCCTGGGAAACAACATAATTCAATGTTTTAAATTTTGTACTGATTAGCATTAGGAAAATGAGCAAATTAAAAATCAGAGATTATTTTGGGTCATGATATTTTTAAAGTACTCAACTCTTCCAGAATCACTCAATAATTAAGTAATAATACTTTAATGTATGCACCAAGGTCAATTAACATGCAGCAGAACTGTACAATCACCAGGAAGGCCCCATTAATAAGCACCATGGCATGGCCTACAATCTCACTGCAATTACTGGGGTGGGGGACAGTCAATTTTAAAAACTCCATTTTACGGTTCATCAAACCATTTAAGAAATTTACACCAAACAATTGAAGAAACTTAGTATATAAATATATACATGCATCTATACTACTTTCAACATCAAAGATAATTCTAGAACAGAACATTTAGAAGGCCAAGAAAAGAACCTCCAACTCTCATCACCTTAATATAGCTAGTTGAATTTGATATATTTATTATCTGCTAATTTTTTCTCAATTCAAGTGTTTTCAAATTGTCATACTCAATCCATGTCATTTTATAGCCTTTACTTACTATTCAGTTTTAAGTTCCTCCTGATATTGCTAGTTTTTCACAATCATAACTTTTAATGCTTTCTCAACATCAGTAGATGCAATATAATTTACATTCAAAGGCAACACTGAGGTTGCTTTCCTTGTTTTCTAAATAATAAATATGATTACAATAAATATCATAGTCATATTTTTGTTTTCCTGAATTCTGAAGAATTTCCTTAGGATGTATTCTCAGACGTCATTCAGTTTATATAAATATTTTATAGTTCTCAATGCTTGTTGCCTAATTGTCAAATGGCATTTTAAATGGTGAGACTATTTAAAATTAACATTTCTGAAGCAGAGTCATTATGGTAATTGTGTCAAATCACTCTTTTCTTCTTCTAAATTAACCATATTTATCAGACCCATGTGTAGGCTGTAACATCGCATTCCAAGTATTTCTTTTCCACTGCTCTAAAGATATTACATTTTACCATCTGGAAATGACTCCATATTTGTACTAAAATATAGATGAAAAATCCTAATAACCATGGGTAGTTTAATGATTTAAGTTTGAATCGTTCAAAGATGATTCTAATTTACTGATCTGCTTACAAACTGAAAAGCTCAGACTAAATGCTAAATATACCACTATATTTTTATTCTTAGAATTCCAATCTCAACAATACAGATTGCGGGGAAGAACACAGGCAGCTCGCGTTGAGAGAGCTCTACCCAAGCTCTTACTTGCCACACTTGCCTCAAGCTGTGCATAGTCAGCAGTGGGGGGTGGGGTGGTGGTGGTGGTGGTGGTGGTGGTGGTGGTGGTGGTGGTGGTGCAGTGTGGGGGTGGGGGGCGGAAAGGGGTACAGCCGCCCCCCCCCCATGGACAGCCACCAGTGTATTGTTTTCACTTTAATAGCATTTAAATAACAACAGTAATCTCATTTTCCAGATAATACTGCAGCCCTTTTTAGGATTCCAATCAAAGTATATGCCACGACGAAGAATTAAATGAAAGCAAAAAACAAGAAACACACTTTGCCGAAATGTAATGGGAAATCTAAGGTGCTCACACAACTCAAGTGTGCAGGTTCTCCGGTAGCCTGCCAAGAAAATGTCAGTTGACGATTTTGAGAGGGTAGTTTCACTTTCATCATCATTCTCCACGCTAAGAGACCCCCCGCTGTTCTTAGCATCACCTATTCAGTCCTGCAAGACGGAGATCTCAGGACGGCATCTGACCCTTTATGCCCCTCACACCCACATCCAATCATCACCCACTCCTGCCACTTAAGCCCACTTTGCTTTCCACATTTCGCAGGTCTGCCCTCTCTACAGCTCACTGTGATGAGTTTGAGAGTCCCAGTAACACACGTTTTTGAATACTGTCCCACTGACTACTGGGTGATCCTGGACAAATTCAAATTCTCTCAGTCTCAGATTCCTCATTTATTCTTGGATGGAAATATTAACTACTTTGTAGGGATGCTGTGGAAATTAAACGGAAGTGTCTGAATTTGTTTTGTGAGCATCTAGAACACAATAAACAAAACACCATAGCCATTATCCCCATCAGTGCCCAAGTTCTCTCCCCCAGCCCCTCGCGACCACCTCGACCACCTCCTTCTGGACGGCTCTCTCCCCGGCCTTGCTTCTCAAATTTCTGCTTGGCGCAGCCACCAAGTGTTCTGTGTGCGTCCTGGGAACATGTCCTGCTCCTTCTCTTCCTGATCTTTCCTTCTGCCCAGCTTGTTCCTAGCTATCCGCTGGGCACTCACGTTCTGTTTTCTCCAGCTCCTGCTCTTACTTAGCTAAATCAGCTGCCTCTCTGCAGTAACAGACCCTCCAGTATCCGTATCACTAGACTTCATGTTACGTGTGTCACAATACCCTATTTATAGTTTTCTCTCCCCGGGATTGTGATAGGGGAACATGTCTCATTCATGACTTTATCCACCACATCCTGCACAATGCTTAGCACAATATTAAGCTCTGCTTGTTGAATACTCAGATAGCTTTGAATTATTTAGGAAAATGTGCTCTAATCTCTAATTTCTGTAACTTCTTGCATATGAAATGCCAGGAAAAATTCTGCCCCAAAGTAGAAAAGTATCAGTACATCAGACAGTGTTTACAATTTATCAGTACATACTTGTTCTCGAATCATATTTTTGTAGTGAGTCACAATACTGTCATGTTGTTCTAATGTTTTCTTCACCTCTTCTTCTTTTTTATCCTCTTCACTGGACTTATAAATAGCCTTAGTTATCACACCTATAAAAGAAAGCTTATTAAAATGTATTTTAGGGGCACCTGGGTGGCTCAGTGGGTTAAAGCCTCTGCCTTCAGCTCAGGTCATGATCCCAGGGTCCTGGGATAGAGCCCCGCTTCGGGCTCTCTGCTCAGCGGGGAGCCTGCTTCCTCCTCTCTCTCTGCCTGCCTCTCTGCCTACTTGTGATCTCTCTCTCTGTCAGGTAAATAAATAAAACCAAAAAAAAGAATTGTATTTTAAAATTTAAAATCTGGGGCACCTGGGTGGCTCAGCTGGTTAAACGACCAATGCTTGATTTCAGTTCAGGTCATGGTCTCAGCATTGTGAGATCGAGCCCTCATATTGGGCTCTGTACTCAGTGCAGAGTCTGCTTAAGATTCTCTCCTGCTGGGATGGCTGAGGGGCTCAGTCTGTTAAGCATCTGTCTTCAGCTCAGGTCATGATCCCGAAGTCCTGGGATCCAGTCCCGCATGGGGCGGGGGGGGGGGGGGGGGGGGGGGGGGGGGGAGGTTCCGAGCTTAGCAGGGAGCCTGCTTCTCTCTCTGCCTGCCACTCCCACTACTTGTGCCCTCTCTCGCTCTCTGACAAATAAATAAATAAAATCTAAAAAAAAAAAAAAAATTCTCTCCCGCTCCTCTGTCCCTCCCCCGACTCAAAAGTGTGCATGCATACATGTGTGGGTTCTCTCTTTAAAATCAACAAAATCTTAAAAAAAAAAAAATTTAATCCTATTTTAAGATTTAATCAGCAAAACATATGGCCTAACTGTATGACAGAGAAGATATAGTCTTCCCAATCTTCTTGAATGCCAAAAATCTTTCAATGAACTATAGACCAAGAGCTACTAAAAAAAATAACAACCCACTTTTGGCTTACTATATAATCTACATGTGTCCAAAATATACACATACAAAATAATCATAGGTACTTTAAAAAAAAAAAGATTTTATTTATTTATTTATTTGACAGATGGAGACCATAGGTACTTTTAAATGAAAATCAATACAAACTCTGTCTTACCTTCAAGTTCTTTTACAAGCTTCGTGAACTCATGATCAAATATCATGTATTCTGGACTGGGGAAGTTTGGCTGTGGTTTCTGAGATGCTCTGGAATACAACTCATGTTTGCTGATAAATCCTAGTTTCTCTATGAAGTTTTCTTTGCCAATCCTCTTCTCTATTAGTTGTTTTAATTTCTCTCTACAGAAATAAGCATATTGAAATGCTTTTTAAAAAAAAAAAGTCATAAGAAAACCTAAAACTTGGGTCTACATTATACTTTGGCAGAAAAAATTTATCATTATCAGTTGGATGAAATTAGCAGGTCATTTTTTTCCCCTAGCATTTTCCCCTTACTTACTTCATGTAGCTCTCAAGTGAGTTATCATTGAAGTAAATTGAAATACCCAACAAAAGGGCACATAAGCCTTGGACCAACTGCTCTTCCTCGCCAAGATTTTCTGCAATTTGTCCTGTAAGCTGAAATTTTTGTTAAGGAGACTAATGGCTCATAACATCTAGAGTATTTTCCTTCATAGTCTGAATCTGACATGTATTTCATGTAAGGGTTTCTACAAAGCTTCTATATATAGTCCGAGCAAGCATGGAACAAACAAAGGCACCAGACACACACACACACACACAGCTTAAGCGAGCATCATCTCCACCTTAACAGTTTAAAAAGATGCAACACAGCTTTTTAAATATTATAAATTCAAATATTTAGAACGCAGAACTCCCTCTCGCTTAGAGGAAGAAATAAGAATAAATACTTACACGCATCTTACTAAAACATAAAGGATACAAATGGAACATTGGCCGAATTGTGAAGGAAATGCGTGACTGCAATGGGACAGTTGCTCAGCCAGGTACAGAGCAGCATCAATAATCCAACTCTTGTCTGTATTTTGCTTCCCTGCAGCAAATAGATAAGTTGGCAGAAATCTCATTTTATCTTTTTTCAAACTTAACGTTACCCTAAGATCCCTCTCCATTTGCATTAAAAATTTTTTAATGCCTTACAAAAGATATGTTAGGAATCCACACGTAAAAACAACAAGAGACTGCATTCTTGTGTCCTCTCCAGGCTGTACTTCCCAAAATGAATAGAGAGCAGAAACTGGAATTGATTTCTGTTCATAAACATATACCAAATTATCGAAAATACTGCTAGTGGAAAAACCTGGTCTGCTAAGGCAGATGCACGATGTAGCTGCTTAAAAAAATTATCAATCCGAAAACACTTTACAGTAACATAAAGTTATCCAGATGTTTCAATCAAAATTTTAAAAACAAGTTTCTGATAAAAGGACAAATTCTACCTCCTTCAAAAAATATCAGGAAAAATAAAAGGAAATAATCTCCTGAATTATTTAGTCAAATTCCATCAGAGAATATATTCCCTAACAAGATAATAAATAAACCATGTTGCAAACTCACTGGCAACATGCCAGACAATGAGAATCACAAACATAACGAAGAAAAAGATTTATTGAAATTCGCTAACTGCCCCAAACCACTAACTATACTACTGCCAACCAAACAATATTGAAAACTAGCGCATCCATCAAAATGACACTTTCTTACATTTTAATGAACACATTTATATCTCCTATGGGGATAGTCTCTTAGCTCATACAGCCACTGCCCAATATTATATTACATAACCTATTTTTTGTTTAAGAGTACAAAAGTTGTTTGAAAGAAATAAATGGAATTTAGCACAGTAATGGATTACTTTGAGGTAACTGCAGAAAACATCCAAAATACAATTACTCAAAGCCAAAGAATAGATTTAAAGTAACCATCACCGTGCTTTGAAAAATTACTCAAGACTGTTCCAATTTCATGAACCTTGCGGTCAGTATCTTGGCCTTTCTATAATCTATTTTCAAGTGTATTTCAGATTTAATTAAAGAAATTCAGACTAGACTTCTTCAAAATGATCTGCCAAATAAGCATTAGCTTCTACATGATGCATTATTCTTACTTTTTCCTTGCCTCCATGTCATTACTATGCCTATGGTATATCTTCATGTTACCCAAGTAGATTTGAAAGTTAAAAAATATAGTTATTCCCAATTGACTATGTGCCACAGAGAACTTTCAACTAGTTACTCAAGTAAATAAATAAAATACTTCATTGATTTCCCCTTGTTATATATAAAAAATTTATTATGACTTGGAATTCCATCTGCAAGTACCAACAACACCTACACTGTATATACAGGGCGTTCTATCAAATCATGGGCTGGTGTCTGAATAAAGAGAAATGTAACTATCTTCTAGAAGTATACCCTTTGGGGTCTAACTGAAGAATAAGAAAGCAAAGTTAAACAAAACTAGTTAGAATCAAGAGAGAATGCAACACCCCACTTAAGCTATGGCATCAAAAGAAGATAAAGTATTCAGGAAATGAGCCTAACCCAAACTGTCTAACACCTAAATGAGGCTGGGGCACCTGGGTGGCACAGTCGATTAAGGTTAAGTGGAAGACTCTCTAGATTTCAGCTCAGGTCATGATCTCAGGGTCCTGGGATTGAGCCCTGTTCACCAACCCCATTTGGGTTCTAGGTTCAGCAGGGAGATTCTCTCTCTCTCTCAAATAAATAAATAAAACTTAAAAAAAAAAAAAAACCTAAATGAGGAAAATTTAAAAAACACTCCTAAAGAGAACAAAAGCAGACCTAAATCAGTAGAAAGACACCAGTGATTTCATCATTTTGATGAAAAACTCAAAATCATGGAGATAGTAATGGTACATTGATCTGTAAAATCTAGGTAATCCAAATAAAATATCAAAAGGTTTTTATTCTCTCCACCGAACTAAACAACCTGGTTTTCAAGTTCATATGGAAAAATAAAGAGCAAGAATAACTAAACTTAGTCAAAAAAAAAAAAAAAAAGAAAGAAAAGAAAAGAGAAAGGGGCAATGAGGTGATACTAGGTCATAAACGGACAGGAATCAAGGGACAGAATAGAAGTCCAGAAATGATTTTACAAATGAGAATTCAGTATATGAGAAAAATAGCATATAATCATTAGTGGGATACAGGAGGACTTACAAAATGTTACAATGAGCTAGCTATCTAAAAAAGGTCAGAGGGGGACGCCTGGGTGGCTCAATGGGTTAAAGCCTCTGCCTTGGGCTCAGGTCATGATCCCAGGGTTCTGGGATGGAGCCCCGCATCTGGCTCTCTGATCAGCAGGGAGCCTGCTTCCTCCTCTCTCTCTGCCTGCCTCTCTGCCTACTTGTGATCTCTGTCAAATAAATAAATAAAATCTTTAAAAATAAATAAAAGTAAAAAAAAGAGGAGGCGCCTGGCTGGCTCGTGGGTTAAGCCTCTGCCTTCAGCTCAGGTCATGATCTCAGGGTCCCAGGATCGAGTCCTGCATTGGGCTCTCTGCTCGGCAGGGAGCCTGCTTCCTCCTCTCTCTCTGCCTGCCTCTCCGCCTACTTGTGATCTCTGTCAAATAAATAAATAAAAATAAAAATAAAAATAAAAATAAAAATAAAAAAAGGTCAGAGGATCCATAACTCACATAGTTCATCAAGAAAAATGGAACAAAGATTTAAATAAACACAAAAAATGAAACCAGAAAAAATGAGACGAAAATATAGGCAAGTTTGTTCAAATCATGAAGTGGGGAAGGCCTAAGTATGATATAAAATTCAGAAAAGTGATAAAAGTCTGATACAAAAAAAAAAAAAATCCAAAATAAAACACCAAGGTCAAAAACCAAATGACATATCAGGAAAAACATATTTGTAACTTATGACAGATAAGGGTTGAATTCCTTAATATAAAATGAGTTTCTATAAAATTAGAAATGATTTAGCAACCCAACAGAAAAACGAGCAGATGATATTAACTGTAAGAAATGAGAGTTCACAGAAAAACTTTAAATGGTGTATAAACACATAGAAAACTATTCAACGTTCTGGAAAGAGAAATGGACATTAAAACTCACTAAGATAACATTTTTTCACCTCTCAACAGATTGGCGAAAATACAAGTCTGATAACATACTGTTGGTGAGATTATGGGGAATTACATAATCCAACCTGCGGTAGTCTTATTTGATTTTGCTGGTGGTACAAAATGGTATTAGGTAAGAGGAAAAAAACAAACAGTGGCTCTGCACAAAAAGCACCTGAAGGCAACAGAAGAAATAAATAATAGGAGGCAGGGAACCAGGACCGGGGTGGGAGGGGCCAACACTTCTTATTGTATACTTTTTTTATCATTTTGATTTCTAAATCATATATATACACATATATGCATTTTAAAGTATGTACATGTATTTTTAAAGACTAAATTTAATTCTAAGAGTGGCAGTATGGTATCAGTGAAAACATATGGCTGGAAATTAGAAGAACCAAACCCTCCACTGCCCTACCTTATACAAGTTCAACATGTACCCCAATTTCTTCATTTAGCTAACAGAGGCCTTTGGATTAGATAATCTCAAACACAGAAGTTAAAAGGATAGGCTCTGAATATCCTGGTTCTAAAACTCAACAGCACGAAACCTTATCATCATCCTTCAACAGGTTAGATGGTGAATACCCCCTCATTGAGCTGGGGAGCGGATTAAATGAGTTACTGCAAGAATTTAGAATAGCACGTGGTACACAAGTAAGTGTTCTACGGGTGATATAAACTGCGAATCATCCCCTCTAGTTATGCAATTCTTTGCTCTCTACCTATTAAAAGTAGGACTAATGCCCCCAAATTTAAAATAGACGGCAGAATAAAGTCTGAACTGGGAAAATGAAAAAACAATAAAAATTGCCGGCATAATTTTTTTTTAAAACTCAATGAAATACAGGTGGTCCTTGCTTTGCTACATTCACATAAAGTTATGCATATTGGAAATAGCGTATGCATAACATAAAGTTATGCATATTGGAAACAGCGAGGACTGTGTAAGAATGCTTTTTTGTGCAGACTATATTATTCTGATGTTCATCAAACTGTGATTTATAATAAAGAAAATGGAAGATAATTAAATGTCTGAAAATAAAGAGATGGTTAGCTGACCAATGGTATAGCTGGTGAAATATTATGCAGTCATATAAGGTGACGTTTATTTAGTGTTTAATAACAAAGAAAATATTTGTAAGAAAAGATTCAGGATATAAAATGGAATCTCTTCTTGTACGATCACTCCTATGTAAATAAACAGTATAGAAAAAAAAGACTTGGGAGGGCCTGGCTGGCTCAGTGCGTAGAGCGTGTGGCTCTTGATTTCAGGGTCATGAGTTTAAGCTCCATGTTGGGTGTGGAGCCTACTTTAAAAAAAAAAAAAAACAAACCAACAGCTACTTTTGGGTAGTAGAATTCTTACCTTCTAGTTTTTATTTTTTTTTAATTTTCCAAAATGAAAAGAAAATAAACTATTAATACAAAAATGCTATAGTATGTGTCCAGTGTACAATTACACACTGTCAGAAAGATCCAACAAAATCCTGATCAAGCTACTTCAGCCTCCAAAAAAAAAAGTTAGATATTAGACCTTAAAGGCTATCGAAACACTCTATGTCACTGCATTCTGATCTTCTGATGGATTTTTTACAAGATAAATACCCAAGAATAGCAAAAAAACAAAACAAAACAAAACAAAACCCACATTCCACTTTGCAGAATAATTTCATGGAACTATTCATTTTGTTTATGTTTACATTCGTCTGTATGATTGTTTATAGGTTCAAGTCAAGAAAAAGTACGTACCTCTTCTCAGCCCCCAAGAGTGTATGAACCACTACGAGTTGGAAAAACAAATGGATGCTGAAACTGTCATTTCAGCACATTCTGTGGGTTTAGTTACTAGAAATCACAGATTTTACAGGATGAAAGAGAACCACAAACAAAATAAATGAAGCTGAGTCATCTTACCTTTAACATAGACCATTATGTTTTCCTTTTTATTTTCTAAATAAAAATCCCTCTTATTCCTGGTCTGTGGATTTCAAATTCCGTATTTTGCATTACTTATAAAAATAAAAAAGCTAACATTTTAAACTTCTACCCTTCGAGTATTACAATGAGTTTCTAGAGTATTATGATTAGATTCACTTTCTAGCAGTGGCCTCTGGGAATAGAAAATTAATGGGAAAGGGGCATGATGGAACTTTCTGAGATGATGAGCAAGTTCTACAGCTTATCCTGGGTGGTGGTTAGAGGAATATTCACCCATCAAAAACGATCTGACTGCATACTTGAGGTCTGTACATTTTACTGTGTATAAGTTATACTTCCAAAACATTCCCTTCTAAATGATTGACACACATACTTTTAAAATACCTAATATTAAAAATTCTGGAAGCTAAAGCTGCCAAGTTTGTCTGTGTGTGTTATTAGCAGGCGTTAAATCATACTCCTCCACAAAGATACAGTGCCTAACAGGACTTCAGTTTATTACTACCAACACTGCACAACTGAACGCACGACCAAACGTAAATATTAAGGTACACTCCTTTTTTGCCAAACACTCTGCAAAAAAAAAAAAAAAAAAATCAAAACCAAACACAAATCGCACTCCTTCACACACATCAAAAACTAATCCCCAATGGTAACTATACCATATGGGTTACATCCAGAACTACCCACTGTATTTAATTCAAAAAGCTTTCAAATTACAAGATTACACTTTGTACATTTTCAGTAATCTAAGTAATATAAAAGTCACCATATTCTTTGACGTACTGACTAGCTGAAGACAAAATCCTTCACCCTAAATTTTACTAGCTTCAAAATGGTTTCAGGGGGAAATAAAGAAACAAGCTTAGGTGAAGAAACACACACAAAAAAACCACCAAAAAAACCCAAACCAAGGAATTCCAGAAAGTGCAAGCATACCTGGAGGGAAGCACAGACACAGCTTCAGCCTCATTCCCACAGTTCTTAGTAACACCACTACACGGAGAAAACATCCCACAGAGAAAAACCGGAAGCCATTACGACAGAGAGAAACTTGCTGATGCATGAAAGTGTGAGTAGAATACAACTTCAAACAAGCAGTTAAAAAAACCATCAGCAAAACCGAAGACAAAGAAAAGCCTTGTTGTAAGAGGGAAGTGCCTAAGCTTAAACAAGCGATACATACCCGTCTGTCGATCTTATCACCCTGTAAATTACACATGACAAATTACTCAGAAATATTACTGCGTTAGAAAAATTTAAATCTAGAAAAATCCCTCACAGATGGTCTCTACAAACCCACACCAATACTTTGGGACAGTACAGTTCAAATCCTTTATTATGTAACAGTGCTTCTACATTTTGGAGGAGAAAGGATCATTTGATAGCACTGTGATAACTCAGAGTGGGAAGACACCACTATCCAGAGAATTTGTCGTTACGCGTTAACTGTGAAGACAGTGGTAGAGCAAACTCTCTGCTGGCAGTGGTCAGTTAATTGCTGTTTGGCTTAAGAGAAGCTGTTTTCAACAGACAACATGAGAATGACAAGTAGTAAATACATAAAGATATGGATATTTGGGGGTAGTTTTTTCAAATCACGAAGAAATAAATGATAAATCAAAGATAAAATAAGCTTTCAACCTAAGTAAACAGATTTTAAACAACAAAGGGAGCAGACAACCCCCTTTTCACCACAGTTAATTCTTCATAATTCTTCACCTTTAATTTATAGCTTTCTGTGTATGGCACTGATGTTTCTTTAAAAGCTCACAATAAAACAATTCAATGAGTGTGACAAAATTCAAAATTAAGAAGGACACAGGACCTTATCACAGGGAGGGAGGCAGGAAAATTGGAAAATTTCAGGGGACAGCACAATTTTAGACTTAAGTACATGTTTACGCTGAGTGGTTCTGAGTGGCTGGTGACCGTAATTTCACTGAGGAGTGAACCTGAACTGTTCAACAATAAGGCTGTGCATGGGAACAAATCATCCACGAGTAGTGATACTCCTAAAAAGCTTCTCACCCACACTTCAGTGAAGCTCTGCTGTTCTCACCGGGGTCTAGATGTTCTCATCAGGGGTCTAGAGTTCTGCAAACAGTTACATTTTTGTCTGTCTTACTAGCTAAGTTATTAACTTTAGGATTTTGATGATTTGAGAGCTCACAGACATCAAGGAGTCCAATGCTTAACGGTATCAGCGATGGGCTGGTATCCTACCCTTGCTTCCTACAAGGAAGACTGATTGGTTTGGGAAAAGAAGGAAGCACATAGCTATGAGCCACTTTGTTCCATGCCCTCTTATAAGCTGACCCAAATTTGGCCACAGAGCAGAACGGTAACAACAGTGCAAGAACACCGCGGATGATATAAAAGGAAACAAAGAAAAACAAGTCACCTTTCTGTCCAGAATATGTATTTCTATCATGAAGCAGACCTTATTAACTATTTGACAAAACCACTCATGTAAGGATATTTATTGCTTTCTCTCCACAAACTGTTTCGGGTTACAATGAGCCAATGGGCAGGTAAGTCCACACCTCTTTCCTTTTATAATATCTGCATGTACTAAGGATATCCTTAAATTCCTGTATCGCTGACATACAAATGTGTGGCAGAGACTTTTCCCGCCTTCGAGAGTTCCACTCACCACGTTACCTGTGAAAGGATGTTGGTGCACTGCTGTAATAAAGACACCGGAGGGTTGCCAATACTCGTAGCAAGTTGAACCCTGAGTAACTGTTCCTTCTGGGTAGCGTTTTCTTGCAAAGCGTGGGCAAGGGCCACGGCAGCACACCAGTTTGAAAGCGAATCAGTGGAAAACAGGCCTCCGCACAGTAACTGACCCGCTGAGACCGAGTTACCTGTTGCTACAAAGACAGCAAGCAGAGGGTAATAAAAAATTAAATGTTGCTTTACGCACACATACAAATAGCTCAAAATCCTATTTTAAATTTTGTTAATTAGCAATATTGAGTTACATCTGTAAAAGTCTGCTTTTCAAAACAAAATGAAAGATGACAAAAAAGGACTTTGGAAGAAGTGTGATAGGATACGGAGATGTAGAACATGTTAGCCATCAAACTGATGAGATGATATTCCAGAAAATCACTGTCTTAATTAAAAACTATATTTCTGAAGCAAATTCAAGGAAATGCTGTATTTCAAATGCTCCACTACATCTAGGGTCTTTTATCTTAGGATATGTTTTATCATTAAAAAGTTTAAAAGACTACTTACTTTTTAAAACAGAAATTAGAACAAAATCATTTACCATCAATAGTGGAAGGCAGGAGCGTTGACACAATTTCTCCTTGTCCCTTCTGGTTTTTATATAGGAAACACTGGAAGCAGTAGAGAACAGCGCAGCGCAGTACGAACGGTTGCCTTTCATTGACCATGGACATGAGCAGAACTACGATCGCCGGCCTGTCGCATTCAAAAAGAACAGAACAGAGAGAAACATTGCAACCCGAGTATACGAATCAACAGCCGGTCGCTGCTGCTGACTGAAGAACCATAGTAATAAAATAATATTTCCATCAAGTTAGTATTTCCATCTCCATCTCACAGGAACAGTAACTGCAATGGAGACAAGCGATCTGTTTGCTTAAGGCCCGGAGGAGGGGGTGTGGTATCTGCACCCAAATACCTAAGCTCCAAGGACCACAGACTCTTTTAAAATAGTAACATGCTTATCTTGTCAGATGACTTCTAGTTTCAGAACATATAGTTGAACTTCTTAAGGGAATAAGATGTATATACGATATACTAAAAACCCAAAGGAAGTTTTGACTTCCTCAAAGAAATTGCAAGATTTCCCTTTTCCTACCTTGGTGGGTTTGAAGGTGCATTTACAGAAGCAAAGTAGTCTTGGTTTACTTGGTAGCCTCGAATAACTTCTGATACAGTATTAATGGTCTATTAAGGGGGGAAAAATAAAAATTTAGAGAGAGAACATCAAGGAAGAAAACCTGTTTTCAAAGGAAGAAAATGTTTTATCCTTCTGTGTTTTGCTTTTAAATGCCAAGACTCAGACACCAAAAAAGCAGTGACAGCATTATAATCCTCTAACACTTTTTTGAAATAACATTTTAAAACATTAAGTGCAGGCCTCTAATTAGAAATAATACCTGACTACAAGCATTTAAAATATCAAAAAAATAAAATTAATAGTATTCTCTAAGAGACAGAATCTATTTCTACAAAATAAGGATGCTTTAGGATAAAATCGGAGAAGACATTTAAAATCTAACAAAATTAAATTTCAATTTAAGGATGAAGTTGAAAAGACCTCCAAGAAAATAGAATAAAAAGACAAACTAGGTCCATAGAAAGTCCAACAATCTTTCAATAGAGCTGCAGAAGCAGGACATAAAAAAATTATCAGGAAATATGAAAAACATTCTCAGAACTGAAGAACACATGTCTACAGCTTGAAAGGGCCCAGTGAGTGACAAAAATAATTGAAGAGGGGAAAATAAAGTCTGTGGTACTGTACATCATCAGGATATTTCTGGAAACAAGAAAGAAAGAGAAGATCCCAAAAGTTTCTAGAGAAAAAAAGATTACATAAAAAGGATTAAGCTTAAAAATGGCTTCAGATTTTTTAACGGCAGCACTGAAATAATGTTCTGAAAGTTGAGAGTTATGATTTCCAACTCTGAATGGATACCTAGCCAAACATTTGAACTGAAAGTAGAAGAATGACATCAAAGAGCTAAAACCAAGTTCTCCTGCCATCTACCTTTTTTGGAAAGTTAAGTAAACTAAGATAACGAGCCGAAAGGTTGAGGGGTAAAGACACGGCCTGGTAACTAAGGGATTTCAGTCAAGAGAGAAGTAAAAGGAGATCCTAGGGGGCTGGTCAAAGTCCCAGGACAAGAGATGCGCATAGAAGGAGAGAATAACTAGCCCACATTGGAGCAGGAGGATGGAAGGCTTCCAGAAAGAAAACCGCGTGGAATGGAAATGATGTGTTAAGCATGCGATAGCACTAATATGCAGGCACACAGAAAATCAGCAAGACGAAAAAAGAACACTACTACAACTTAGGGAAGAGAAAGGGATATTTAACAAAAGATATGGGCAACCTGTCAGGACCCCTCTCACTCTTGAGAGCTTTTTCTGTGTCTTCACTTAATAAAACTTCTATCACTTAAAAAAAGAAAGATAATTAGCTCTGTTCCCTGCTCTGGCTTAGCAAGGAACAGTATTTATATAGTCATAAAATTATAAGCCCTGAGTACTGATTTAAACACAAATTACTGGGGGGACAGAAGGAAGTAAAGTGAGAGGGTTATACAATGGGAAGGGTGGAGCGAGGCTAAAGATAGCGGGTTTTGTTACAGAACTTATTATCATCTCTTCTTTTAATGTGCATGTGTTAATTTGAGAACAGTTCAAATAAACTCCACCTTTCTTTCCTTCAAACTAACTGCATTTTCTTAATAGACAGGCAAGAAAAAATGCCAAACATCAGGGAGAAAGAATGCACAATTCTCGGAATATGTAAGACTACTTAAAGTCTCAAGTCTTATTTGACTAAATCATACTGATCTCAAAATTAAAACCATCAATCATACTGGGTATTCCTGCTGAGTACAATAAAATTAATGAAATCCTGTACGCTTTCACATTATTCATATACTATTGAACTTGAGGATGGAGTATACCTTTGGGGCTTAATACTGTCATATTACGCTAAGTAGATTTTAGTAGGACCAGTTAGGAATTTAACATATAAAAGTGGTTCACTTCTACTGCTTTTCCTTTAGCTGACATCTAATTCCTCTTAGGATTCCCGATCTCAACGGCCGCGAGCAGCCCCTGGCCCCACGCGGTTTACCTCGGTCAGGATATCGGCAGGAACGCCCGTGGCCATGAGGATGGTGCAGAGCTGCTGCAGTAAGCCGCACTGGAACATGGCTTTCTGGCAGCTGCTCGTAGCCCCGGGAGGGTTGGTGGGAGAGACCAGCACCCGAACAAGCTGCGAAAGAAAGAGCAAACAAAATGTGTCTTTTAAAGATTTGAAAAGTCTGGAGGGAATTGATCTGTATGAACACGAGTATCTGTGTGAAGGCTTCCTCCCCTCCTCGGCCAGATCTAGGGGCTCTTCCCTTCAAGCTCGCACGGCAACAGCTCTGCTACAGCGCACGGCGCCCTACGCCGTTTGCGCCACTTTGTCGCCTTCAGGGGATTGTGAACTCCCGAGCAGAGACTGCCTCAGTCATTTTTGTTCCAAAGAACAAGCCCAGTATTTTTAACATAGTTTATATTCAACGAGTGAACGGATGAATGGAGTAACAGGGTGGTATATTTTTCATCAAAGTAAAGATGAACTACCTAATTACAGAGCAGATCTGGGAACAGAGTGGCCTGAGGTGTGATCAATTCCCCTTCACTGGGAGCTACTTAGAGACCAGAACTTACAACTGAAGACGTGGTAGAAGATTTACGCATTACGCAAGGGGTTGGCCTCATTGATCATTAATGCTAATTAAATCCTTACGGCTCAATGATTAGTCTGAACTTGAACATGAAATCTGAGAAACAAAAAAATGTCATCCCCAAAATTTTCAGCACCGTTATATCTACAAAATAATTTTATATGCATCTTGTATTTTAAAACTACACTCACAGGTCTGTGTGTGTACAAAGCCTTATATATTAAGATCACATGGGAAATTTGTGATAACACTTTATTAAGAGGGCTGATTAAGGGGTGCCTGGGTGGCTCAGTCAGCTGGACATCTGCCTTTGGCTCAGGTCATGATCCCAGAGTCCTCGGATCAAGGCCCAAGTTGGGCTCCCTGCTCAATGAGGAGTCTGCCTCTCCCTCTCCCCCTGGCCCTCCCCTGCTTGTGCTCTTTCTTTCCTCTCTCAAATAAATAAATAAAATCTTAAAAAAAAAAAAAAGAGGGTTGATTAATACACTGATGTCACCAGAGAGCAACTTTAGGATTACCCATTGGTTTAAATCCTTAAGCCTTTCTAGTTAGGCCTCCGAGGCTTTTGTTTTTTTAATTTATCCTCCTATCCTTACGTGGCTGGGTGGGGGGTGGCAGAGGGAATATATATACACATATATATGTATATATGTGCATATATATGTGTATGTATGTGTATATGTATATGATATATATACATATGTAAAACAAATACCAAGCTAGATGTCATTTCTCCCATAAATATTTCTATACGCATCTCTAACTAAAAGGATTTTAAAAAACATAATCATCATGCTATCACCATACCTAACAAAATCAACAATAATTCCCTAATACAATCTAATCACTTGGATATCTTTACTGATGATGTAAAAAAAAGAAAAAGCAATTATCCATTTTCTAGATGACAGAGAAGTAGGAAAAGGTGACTGAAAAAAGAGGTAATACTTAATATGAGGATAAGAAAATAAGGGAAGACTTAATAACAACATTCAAATGTGTAAAATACTGTAAGGAATGGACTTGTATTTTCCCAGAAAGCAAACCAAGGGGAAGTCTGTAGAAGTTATATCAAGGCAGACTTTAACCCATTATATGGATTAAGTTTTTAATAACTAGAATTACCCCAAAACGAAAAGGATTTTCTCATAAGGTAATGAGCTTTCTGAGAGTTGCTGGCAGTAACTGTTCAAAAATGGTCTACAAGGGTATATATGCCTGTAGGCATAGGAGGCAGAACTAGTCATAACACTATCATTTCAGGACAAAATTAAAATGTTTTATGACTAAAAAATGTTTTGAAAAGATGAGCATCCCCCAAATTTAATCTGTAAAAGCTGAATAAAATATTCTTAAGGACATCAATTTCAACTTACAGAATTTTTAAGATCAATCATGATTTCAACTGCAATGATGAATAAATTCCAGTTAGGATGTTTACTATTCGAACAGGAGCATTTATCACCATTTTTGGTGTATTTTCATTTGGTGCAACATAGAGAACTCAAAGTACAAGCAACCCTACATACAGCTATAAAGAAATAGCACTGGACAGGTTGAAAAGCAGAAGATAACCTGTGACCTGTGAAGTCATGACTGTATCAACTACTCGATTTTTGACATGGAGAATATATTAAAGTGAATTAAACTCAGGCTCTTTATTTTGAAGTTTACGTTCAAGATTTTATTCAGTTTTTTTTTTAAGTCAAGAGTACTTTAAGAACCAATTTACTGTCTACTTAATTTTTGTTGATAGTCAGTATGCTAGTCTACGTTTTTGTTTTTGTTTTTTGGTAAAATAGTACTTTACTTTTTAAACAGCAACACTTTCTTCAAAAATTATTCCTTACATAGTACCCTAAACTACAAAACACGCGTGGACTCCTCCAGCACTTTAAAAGATCACTGCTCGGCAGGACAGACCTAAGTTTTTGCCCATCACCAGACCCTTCACTCTAACCACCTTTTGAAAGGTACTTTTCTAGAGGAAGTTCCTTTATTAAGAAAGTGGTATTAGGCAAAGATATCAAGCTTACTACTTTGGATGCTATTTTGAAAGGATAAAAACTAACACAGTCTTGAAATATGTAATACTGACATATGAAAACAGAAGCGATGAAGGGAGGAGTGTAAAATAGAAAGATTCTACCCAGGCTGTCCTATAAAATATTTTCCTAACCACTCTTATGCATATTCTATATAGGATAACTATAATTTATTATCTAAATTGGGACAGTTTAGAAGTGAAAGAGGGCACTGTTACAGTAATTACAAAATGAATACTATCCAGGCAAAATAGGGCATCTGGTCACCCTAATAATCGATCAACCCTACAGAGTCAACTCCCAGGGTATGCAGCAATATTCAGACTCTAATTATTAGAGAAACTATCCATCTAGTTTTAAGGAAAACAACTTCAGAGATGCAGACATAATGCAGAGATATTCAAAAACCCACAAGAATCACCAAAGAGTCGGTAAGTTGGGAGGCTAGCGTATAAATTTAAGGATTGAGAAGGCATAATAAAGGAATAAGTAAGTAAAATACTTCAAAGAATTTCATATATTCTCTGATGCAGAAATCATTTGGGATCCTACGGTCTTCAATTTTACTACCATCACCACTAAGCTTTCACCATAAAGCTTAAATAAAATTACCCGTAATGTGTCAGTTTAACCTGCATCCGATTATTAATCTTTGGGGGCAGGCACATTAATATTCATTTCCTAGCGGTCAGTGCCTAACTCCCAGTAAATGTTAACTGAATGAATTTATTTGTTGAACATAGTATTCTGAATATTAAAGCCTTAACTGAAGAAATCAGATTTAAAAAATTCAAATTGACAATCTAACCTATTATTCTCTGGGTGCAAAAGGTTCATCAGGACACTATATATTTGGATTTGCTTTAAAATAATGCAGCAGGACAAGAAAGTGGGATAAAAGGTGAAACAAAACTGCCAGGTGTTAATAATTATTGAAGCTGAGTGATGGACGTGGTAATGGGGGCTGGGGGGAGGTCAATGGCAGAGGATCTCTGAACATAACTGCAAATTTATACTAAAAGATTTTTTAAAGCCCATCTGAAACCAACTCAACATCCTAAATTTATCAAACACGAGCAATTTTCTTTGCTTTGAAAGGAACAATGTCAAAATTCTTATCACATTTGTATCTAACTACAGTATACCTGTAGCATTACGTGCAGATTAGTCACTTTCTGTGCAGACCAGCCAGAATTTTCATCTCCAACATGAAACCAAGGTTTCATACGTTGAATATATGAGCCTTCTTTAAAAAAATTTTGATTGGAATTGTTGTTTTTTAACAAGTTTTGGAGCAAAATCAGACAATCTTCCACTACTATACCTGGGAAAAGAATGTAAAATGGAAGTGTTAAGGCTAATAAAATCCAAAGGCAAATTCAATCCCCAAACACTTTGCTGCCGGGGTGGGGGTTGGGGGGAATGGGCAGGAGGGTGATGTGCTGAGGGAGGGGGAGAGAATTTTTCTTTTTTTTAAGATTTTATTTATTTGAAAGAGAGAGAGAGAGAGAGAGAGAGAGAGAGGGAATACACGCAGGGGAAGTGGGAGAGGGAGAGGCAGGCTTCCCGAGGAGCAGGGAGCCCGATGTGGGGCCGGATCCCAGGACCCTGAGATCATGACCTGAGCTGAAGGCAGAGGCCCAACCGACTGAGCCACCCAGGTGCCCCGAGAATCTTTTTTTTTAAGATTTTATTTATTTATTTTAGAGAGAGAGAGGCAGAGACATACGTAGGCATGCGTGCAGGGGAGAAGCAAAGAGAGAGGAAGAGGAACCAGCAGATTACGCTCCATGTTGAGCTCATAGCCCCAGGCAAGGCTTGATCTCATAACCCTGAGATCATGACCTGATGACCTAAGCTTGAGCCAAAATCAAGAGTATAAAACTTAACTGACTGAGTCACCCAGACCAAACACCCCCACCACTCTTTAAAAAAAAGACTAATCTCCAAGCTCAGCATTTCTTCAGTTCCGCAAGGTAGAAAACCTGTGCTGACTCCTGACGGCCACAGGCCACAAGCTGTATGCTCTGATTCAGGTCCCCACCGATCTCTTGACCACTGTGTTCAACTATCCACTCAACTCAGTAACTCATATTTTTTCTTCAGATCCCAGATTAAACATCAAGCACTGATGACCGGGCTAGTCTCACCAGCTAAATGCTTCATAAAAGCCTGCTCCTTTTATTATGCAGTTTGTGTCTTGTCCACTAGGTTATAATTCATGAAGACAGGAATGTCAACGTCCTACTAGGATATGTGTCAGCAGAGACAGAGAAAAGATATAGCTATCAGGTTGCTATTAAATATTTGTTGAATGAATCAACCATATCTTAATCTCTAAGAAGCACCTGACATTGTCGTCTTGATGTCTCTTTCTTGAAACTTCCTCTTGCCTTAGTTTCTAAAACACGAATTACTCTCTTCTCATTTTCCTTACATGCCTCTGGCCACTCCTCGGGCTTCCCATGGTTCCTGGCTCCGGTTCTCCATCTACTCCTCTCTCTGCTCACAACATACTGTTCCATGGGGTACTTGCACCCACACCACAGCTTACACTGCTTTCATGGCTTAAAGCTCTCCAATGATCTCCACTTCACCAAGTGCCAGCTTAACCAAGGATCTGTTCCCTCTGTTGACAATATGATTGATACTAGATGCTCACAGCTGATAGGTTCCTCTGTATACTACATCCACACTTTTACCTCTACTAGTTGAACTTTATGTTTACAAAAATCAGTTGCTTTTTTTTTTTTTAATTAATAGACTTTATTTTGGGGGGCACCTTGGTGGCTCAGTCCGAAACCCATAACCACTGTTGATCTTGGGATCGTTTGAGTTCAAGCCCTATGTTGAGTGTCAAGATCACTCAAATAAACAAAACTATAAAAAAAAAAGGGACTATTTCTTAGCGCAGCTTAACAGTGTTTTGTAGAGAAATTTTCAATGTTAATGAAGTCTCATGTACCAATTTTTTCTTTCATGGATCGTGCCTCTATATTGTACCTAAAAGTAAACAACTTTTGTAATTTACAAAGCTACCATGCTATTTGCACTAGTTATTAATTAACTATTATATAAACTGCCAAATAATAGTTCCCTCTTATCTGCAGTTTCACTTACTGAGGTTTCACTTATCTGGAATCAAGTGCAGTCCAGAAACCAGTGATCATCCTGATTTACCGTCAGAAGGTTAATAGCAGCTTAATGCTACATCACAATGCCTACGCCATTCGCCTCACTTCATCACCTAGACACCTTATCATTTCATATTATCATGAGAAGCAACGTGAGTTCAGCACAGTATTTTCAGAGACAGAGGAGGATCACATTCACATAACTTTAACTACAGTATATTGTTACAATTATTCTTTTCTATTATTAGTTGTTGTTAATCTCTTACTGTGCCTAATTTGTAAATTAAATTTTATCATAGGTATGTATGTATAGGAAAAAACACTGTATACATAAGGTTTGGTTACTATCTATGATTTCAGGTATCCACTGGGGGTCTTAGAATGTATTCCTTATAGATAGGGTTTTTAAAAAAACTAAGTCTTTGGCAAAACTCAATGAAAGCAAGTCATTAAGAATAGCTGTTGTTATATACAGGTAATATAAGTCTAAAAAACAAGAAAACTAATTGTAAAAACCCACGAAGATCTTGCATTTCACTGTAAAGAAACCCAAAAGCAAATCCTACATGATGTATTATAGATGTGATATAATAAAGATGCAGAAAGATGATGGAAAAACTCCAATCAGTCGACCCATATTTGAAGGAAAGGGTCTGGCCCTAACTCAAAAGATCATTTTATCAATGCATATTGAAAAAAATTATTACATTTAACTTGAAATAAAAATGTTTAAGTTGCATATTTAAAATATGTTTAAAATCTCTGATTTAACCAGTCCTGCACTCCAAATTAGAGGCTTCCTGACTTCATACTGCTGGACCATGTGGATCCTCACCTCCTGAGGAGGAATCACTGTATCTCTTATGAAGGACCATAAATCTCCATTAAATAAGATCTGCCATTAAGGAGCATCAGAAGGCCCTGGAGGAAAGAGAAATGTCAAAACCCTCACCATCACTGGCGGGCCTTCCCTCCACTGTGCAAAGTTAATTCTAGAGCTTTGAAGGCTACCATCGGTCACAAGGAGCCACTGGAACTTATCTTAGCAATCCTAAAGACTAGCCAATTCTATCTTGTCTTAAAATTCTGTTTTCCTTGGTCGCCTCTGAAAATATATACCTCGCTAATCACCTATGCATCTCCATGTTCTCATCTTAGAATGCTTAATCTCCTTTGAACTCTTTCAAGATGCTACCTCTAACTCCTAAATACTGGTTAATAAAACCTACTATATACCCTCAATCACTTCATGAAATGTTTTGTTTTTTTTTTTTAAGATGTATTTATTTTGTTGAGAGATAGCATGCACAAGCAGGGGAGAGGGGCAAAAGGAGAGGGAGAAGCAGACTGCCCACTGAGCAGGAAGCCTGACGTGGCGCTCGATCCCAGGACCCCCAGATCATGACCTGAGCCGAAGGTAGCCGCTTAACCAACTGAGCCACCCAGGTGCCCCAAAATATTTTTTTCTTTAAAGAAGCTACCTTCGGTGCCTGGGTGGCTCAGTCAGCTACGCGTCTGCCTTCGGTTCATGTCATGATCTCAGGGCCTGGGAGTGAGTCTCACATTGGGCTCCCTGCTCATTAGGGAGCCTGCTTCTCCTTCTCCCTCTGCTGCTCCCCCTGCTTGTGCTCTCTACCTGTTAAATAAATAAAAACAATCCTTATAAAAAAAAAAAAAGCAGCACCTGCCTTTTAACATTCTGAAGGGCAGGCAGTTCATGCTTTTGATTCTATGTACGAGTCAGAATGTGGAATCTATGATCCTCCCAGCCCAGTGTACTTTCCAGAGACCACAGTTCCTCTGCCTTCTCACAAAATCTCCCGTTTCCTTGCGGATCAGGCCATGTGCCCATATGATCTCTTACACTCCTCATTGCTTATGTAACAAAACCATGGTCACTATTCTGTTCACTGACAGCATCACTGGGATCTTGCTCAAAATCTTCTTTCTCTACTTGCCGCTATCACTCTTGATTTCAGTGACAATCCCTCTAATACCTGGACTTCTCAGTTCCCTGACCTCACTGTCAGAATTCTCATTCCATTACAAAACCTCCCATCTTTCCCGCTCCAGTATTTTCAACCTATCTGTTCTACGGCTTCCCTGAGACTTTCAACCCAACAAGTCTTCTTTCTTCCTTTTTAGGAACGCTCTCTACCTTTACTTTCCTCCCTGTCTAGCTTAGATTATACAAATCTTCATTTCTTCACTCTGTAGATAATAAACTAAGTTCTCTTGTCTTACTTTCTTTTCATAGCACCTTCCTCGAAAAAACAAAATCCTGTGAAAAATTAACTGCTTGGTTTTTTTTCTCTATTGCACCTAGGCATCAGAGTACTGGAAGGGAGTGGGGAGACAGAATCACCTAATCAATATATCTGCAGTGCTGTAAAATCCCAGTGAAAACGCTCAATGGGGCTTTTATCCCTGCCTGGAAATCTTCCTAATTACAACAGTCAACTAGCTCTCTTATTCTCCAAAAGACTTTTTACCTCCCCCATAATTCTCAGCTGGGTCCTCCTCTTTCCCTCTCAGCATGACTCTATTTTCATTTCAGTTCAACTTCCTACCACCAAATCTGCAAAAGGACCTACCTCTCCACCTGTGCACTCAACATTATGATGGGAGATGTGCTTCTTTTCCTGTCTTAAAAGCCAACTCCAAACCCTACTCTGGATTCCAATCCTTCCTCCTTTTTTAGGTATTCTGAATCAATGATTGATCATCCTCTTTCTCTCATATCCTCCCTCTTCTCAACTTGCTTATATTGGTTGTAGTCTCTCTCATTTTAAAGAAAAGACCCTCATAGATTAAAGAAGAATAATCTGTATCTCCAAAGATACAGAAAAAAAATTCACTAAAATTCAAGATTCAAGGGCACCTGGGTCGCTCAGCTGGTTAAGCAACTGCCTTCAGCTCAGGTCATGATCCTAAGGTCCTGGGATTGATCCCCACATCAGACTCCCTGCTCTGTGGGGCAGCCTGCTTCTCCCCCTCCATATCCCTGCCGCTCCCCCTGCTTCTGCTCTCTCTTGCTCTGTCAAATAAATAAAATCTTAAAAAAAAAAAAAGAGTTAAAAAAAATAGAATCAAGATTCATTCGTGATAAAAACTTAGCAAAAATAAAACTTAATGGCGAGACATCAGTACTCTTAATAAAGTCAGCAACATTCAACAGTGTATTAAAGATTGTAATTAGTCCAATGAGATGAAAAAGAAAAGTGGTGTAAGAACTGAAAATGAAGAAAAAATTATTAATTTTATGAGTAGAAAATATGATTATCTACACAGAAAGCCCAATTAGAACCAAGGGTTTAAGAAGGTGGTTGGACACAAGATTAACATACAAAAATCAAGTAATGACCAGTTTGAGAATGTAAAAGAAAAAGATCACATTTATATGGTAACAAAACGAAATGCTTAGGAATCAATTTAATAAAAAAAGATGTTACAGGGGCGCTGGGTGGCTCAGTGGATTGGAGCTTCTGTCTTCAGCTCAGGTCATGATCTCAGGGTCCTGGGATTGAGCCCCATGTCGGGCTCTCTGCTCAGCGAGGAGCCTGCCTCCCTTCCTCTCTCTCCCTGCCTCTCTGCCTGCTTGTGATCTCTGTCAGATAAATAAATAAAATCTTAAAAAAAAAAAAAAAATGTAACATTCTTTGGCTCAAAATTTTGAAACATGACTCAAAGATCTAAAAGAAGATTTGGGTTAAGAGACTTGGGTTATGAATGGGAAGTCAATACATGAAGATGATAATTCTCCTTAAATTAATCTGTAAACCCAATATATTTCCAATCAAAATTCCAACAGGGGGGCGGTGCCTGGCTGGCTCATCAGTAGAGCATGTGACTCCTGATCTTGGGGTTGTAAGTTTGAGATCCATATATATATATATTGTTATTGTTATTATAGATATATTTAACATATAGAACTTGATTAGCAAACGCATTTCATTCAAATGAACAAAAAAAGGAAAAGGTGTGTTAAGGCAATTAAGAAGAGGGTTTCACAATTCATTAGATGAATAAATTGTGAAAATTCATTCACAAGTGTACAAAATTCACAAGTGTACAAATTCACAAATTCACTCACAAATTCACAAGTGTACAAAAATACACTTCTCAGATATAATTGATCTTTATCCACAGTTCCTGAAAACCCTTCAGAGCCACAAAGGCGAAATGGGGATCTTGCTATTTATTAATGAAGGTGATTTTGGGATGCCACCCAAGGGCAGGCACTAGTTGCCAGTAAGACCAACCACGTGACTATAGGTTGGAACTTTTCAGTGCCCCCAAGAAATCTCCCCACCTCCAGGGATGGGGAAGGGCATAGAGGTTCAATTAGCTAACGGCCAGTGACTTAGTCAATTGTGAATTTTTAATGAAGACTCCATAAAAAACCAAGAGGACAGTTTTTTCCCCTTTTTCAGAGAGCCTCCACACCTGGCGAACCAAAATGTTTCCATGTGTCATTGAGCTGGGACCCAAGCTTCGTGAGGACAGAAGCTCCTTTGTTCAGGACCTCCCCCTATGTATCTCTTTATCTGGCTATTGATTCATATCCTTTAATAAACCAGTAAACATAAGTGTTTCCCTGAATTCTGTGAGGTAGGTCAGAAGCACAGTTAACAGCCTGGGGCTTGTGACTGGCATGTGAAGGGGGAGCGGGGAGGGAAGTCTTATGGGACTAAACCTTCTACCTATGGAATCTGATGCTATCTGTGGGTAGACAGGGTCAGAACTGAGTTGAATTCTCAAATACCTTGCTGGTATCTAACAATGGAATTGGATGTGGGAACCAACCAATATAAAAGATTTTTCCTCTATTCTAATAGATAAGATATTATTATGAGGTTTAGTAATTAATAAAGTGTAGTTTTAGTGCAGAGTGAGACAAATGGAATGAAACAGAGAACTAAGAAACAGAACGTCACATGTATAGATGTTTGATTACAAATCTCATACCATCATTCAAATGCAAGATCCTACTAATTAAATGTAAAAGACAGTTGCAAAGCCTTTAGTAGAAGAAAATGATGAAAACTCTCTTTACAACCTTGAGGTAGAGAGAAATTTTTAGAATAAAACACAAAAGAACACACTATTTTTTAAAAATTCAATATATGAGGGTGCCTGTGTGGCTCAGTTAAGCATCTGACTTCAGTTCAGGTCATGATCTCAGCGTCCTGGAGCCCCCATAGCAGGCTCTGTGCTCAGTGGGGAGTCTGCTTGTCCCTCTGCCCCTCCCCCTGCTATATTCTCTCTCTCTCAAATAAATAATAAAAGAAAAGAAAAGAAAAGAAAAAGAAAATGCAATCTTAAAAAAAAAAGCCAATATATGTGATTGTTAAAATTTTAAACATTAATAGAAACACTACAAATAAATAGGATAAATAAAAAGAAACCCATACTCCACAAACCATAATGAAAGTAAGAATATAAAGTATGAGTCCTCATTTCTCCAAGTGCATTCCCTAAAAGTTAACAATTCAGTGAATACAAAAGGAAATCTCTTTCAATCAATCTCCTCATACTATACCTCCATCACTGTTCCCCTCCTCTGTAATAATGTCCAGTAGTCTCTCAAAGGCATTTTCAAAAGCAACAATTTTTTGGATTGCTCCATTGCTTCGTGTTAGTGCCTGCAGTAGTAACACACCCTTATGGAGGAAAAAAGACAACGTTTAGTAGAGAACAACTTCTACAAGACATTTCAAAATCACAGAATTTTAGAAGTGCAGGAATTTTGCAAGTTTAACTCTTTCACTTTATAGACAGGGGAAAAAAAGGAAGATAAGGTGAGCAATATGCCTCCCTAAAATTATAGATCTCAAAGGGACGGAACCTAGACTAGAATCCATGTCTACTAACTCCTAATTCATTCTCTTTTCACTGCACAATATAATATACAACAATTCTTACATTTTCATCAATCATTACTTGGCTTTAATTGTGGCCTAAGAGACCTGGGCATAATTCTATGTCTCAGGGATGATTCTGTTTCGGCTTCACAATAGTAATGGTATGAAATTATGAATTAAATAATATAAATCTTCAAACATCATCACATTCTAGCAGAGAAAGTTCACATTTTCCTGTAATTATCTGGCCCCTAAATTCCCAAGACTTGATTCTAAGTCAATAGAAAAGATGCATAAAACAATTCACAGTAGTCTTTGCTTCTGATTCTTAGTTTTTCTCAGCTAACCTGGATTTAGTTTATATATTCTGCAACCTCTTCATTATCATTCAAGAAAAACTCAGTTGCCCACTTCTGCTTATTTCACCATTAAATAACAAGTATTTTGTAACAATAGCATTTGCTATTTCTTTGAAATAGGATTTTTTATGAAAAAATTTTTTTAGGAAAAAAGCAGGTATTACTTAAGAGAAAGAAGAATTGCAAAGGGGTAGTTCAAAAGTCCTAAAAAAGGCAAATTAGCTTACTGAGTAGGTATTCACATAAGACCAAAAGAAAAAAAAATTGCCCCTGGACTTTATCTATTTATTTATTTGACAGAGCAAGAGAAGAACACAAGCAGGGGGAGTGGAAGAAGGAGAAGCAGGCTTCCCTCTGAGCAGGAAGCCCCATGCAGGGTTTGATCCCAGGACCCTGAGAACATAACTGGAGCCAAAGACACTCGATTAACTAGTTGAGCCACCCAGGCGCCCTGCCCACATTCTTTAAACTAGACTTGTTCTACTCATTTTCCTAACTGACAAGTTTCAACACTGAGATAAGAGAAAGGCAAAAGTATATTTCTTTTAGGTGTCAAATTCTCCCACTTAATGCTGTCCGGTTTAACTGCTACGAAAGTGGGGAAGGAATACAGTAGAAAGAACACTAAAGCTCTGAGTTAGATAAAAGTGGATTTTAAAAATGATTGTCCTATGTACTAGCTGTGCAACCTTAAGCAAATTACATAAATTTTTAGTATACCCATGTGTAAACTAAGGATAATATTTTTGTTATAGGATTTTTATTAAAAGTAAAGGAGATAAAATAACTTCTATGGAAGCTACCAGGTTTCTATGTACATAGTACTTATATTTTAAGTTCTTAACACATGTTCATTTATTTTTCCTGACTATAAAGAGATATATCGCTCTAATCAAACATATCCACTGGGATGCCTGGGTGGCTCAGTGGGTTACTCCTCTGCCTTCGGCTCCGGTCATGATCTCAGGGTTCTGGGATCGAGTCCCGCATGGGGCTCTCAGCGGGGAGCCTGCTTCCCATCTCTCTCTGCCTGTCTCTCTGTCTACTTGTGATCTCTCTCTCTGTCAAATAAATAAATAAAATCTTAAAACAACAACAACAACAACAACATATCCACTAAATGCTATTAAGAATGGAAGTATACTCACTAGTTATTTAAAGTAAGTGGATACCAAGCCCTTACTTTAAAAACCGGTAATTAAAGGCATTTATTCATTTATTATTCATTAATTCTACTTTTCAAGTATGTACTATATTTCAGGGTAACAAATTAGACTACTTGATGAAGTAAAGTTGTTCTTTGCAGGAGATTATAGCTTAATACATGTGAAATAATGACAGAATTATAGAAATCATCATTTTGGAACTCTTAACAAAATAACCGATTAAAGCAATGATCATTAACGGAGGATCCGATGTACCTGATGAATCTGATGTAAGGAAGGCTGGTAGAGAATTTACAGTGGAGAGGTCCAAATCAAACCCACTGATCACTAAATGTGAGACAGCCAGATATTACCTGTCTCCTCATGTGTTGTAAAATTAAGTTTGCTGTATCATTAGGAAATATCCTAGCAAACAGGTGAACCAAAACATAATCAAGCCCTTTAGATAAGTTAACAGACATAACAATCAAATGTAATAAGAGAACCTTCTCTGGAAAACAACCATAAAGGATATCTTTGGGGGAAAAAAAAAAGGTATCTTTGAGACAAATGGAAAATCTGAATATGGAATGGTAATCTTATTGAAACTGAGGGCTAAGACATCATTGTTAACTTGTTAAATGTGATAATGGCATTATAGTTATATCAGGATATATCCTGATATACTACATACTTTAGTATATATACCGTATCTATATCTATATATATATATCCTGATATATTTTACTATATATAAATACCTTACATACTTTAGTATACATACCATATATGTATAGTATGTGTGTACATGTATGTATGGATACACACATACTATACATACACAGTATGTATACTAAAGTGTGTAATGGTGAAATTATATTGATTGTTTCAATGTTTTTAAATGTCCCAGTCAAAAATAAATGACGGTGGTGAGAGGAGAGACAGATGAAACAAGTATAACAAAATTTTGAAAACTGATGGTTTGTATTCTCTTCTTTCTCATAATAATTTCTTATAATAAAAAATTAAAGGGGGGCCTGGGTGGCTCAGTGGGTTAATAAGCCTCTGCCTTCAGCTCAAGTCACGATCTCAGGATCCTGGAATCAAGCCCCACATCAGGCTCTCTGCTCAGCGGGGAGCCTGCCCCCCCCACCTGCCTCTCTGCCTGCTTGTGATCTTTGTCTGTCAAATAAATAAACAAAATCTTTAAAAAAGAAAGAATATTAAAAAAAAATTAAAGATGGAATTACAGTCTATCACTTAGGAGTGAGCAGGTAGTTAACTCCTAGAGTTTTTCAACTTTTCTTGCTAATTTTTAAGCACGGTAACACAAATAAAGAGGATCATGTCAGTACACCTATGGTAAATGACCAACTAATTCTCTAATCCAGATCAAAATTAATGTTTCAAATATAAAACAAATTGGGGCTAAAAATCTTTACAGATATGCACCCTAGGAAGCTAGTCAATGTTGACAACTATTACTGAGTACAATTAGAAAGTTGATTAAAAAGAAGAAAGGAAAGAATTTTTAAAGAAGAATTAAAAAAAGAGAAGACACAAGAGGAAGAAAAGAGTAGTAGACTGTTCCACACGATCACAGTGCCAATAAGAACTACCAGAGCTGCTATTTAGTTGCCCCTGGGGGCTGGTGTCAACTGAGGTGTATTGTGGTGTGTTATATCACAAATGTTACAATAGTAATTAGCCAAAAAAAATTCAAATGAATCAGTTTACTAACCTCAAGAAAGGATGGCTGTAAAACATAAAAGCCAAGAATCTAGATGTTAAAAATATATAACTTAATCCCTAATCATAAAATTAATGAAAAGCAACATAAACAGAGAATCATTTTATCTGTCTCAAATAAAAACTGAGAAAAGGATGGGGTTCCTGGGTGGCTCAGTCAGTTAAGCGTCTGACTTTCTATCTCAGCTCAGGTCTTGATCTTAGGGTCATGAGTGCTGTGCTTGGAGCCTACCTTAAAAAATACCAACAAAAAAACAAAACAAAACAAAACCCAAAAAACAAAAGAAAAATTGAGAAAAAGGTTAAGAGCAGGAAAGAAGTAAGTGTTAAAGGAAATGGTATATTTAAGAATGAAGCTGATGCAGTTATACACACACAAACACAAATTCTACGTGCAAATGAAAATAAATGGTAATGATACTAATAGAAATCTATGAAGAATTTCCTTATTAAATGGCTTAAATGGTGGGGTGCCTGGTGGGCGCAGTCAGTGGAGCATGTGACTCTTGATCTCAGGGTTGTAAGTCTGAGCCCCATGTTGGATGTAGAGATTTCTTAAAAATAAAATCTTAAAAAAAAAAAAAGTAAACAAATAAATAATAAAATAAAATAGAATGGAAAATATTTTTTAAAAAGGTTTGTATGGTATCATTTTATTTATATTGAGGGCCAAGAGAACAAAACAACATCAAATTTAAGATATATGGTAATATTTTAGTGAACGGAAGATTCTCAAAATTCCTAAGTAGATGAATACCCATCTAAATAAGAAAATTCTTAAAAGAATAATAGAGATTTGGGAGATGCCTGGGTGGCTCAGTTGCTTAAGCATCTGCCTTTGGCTCAGGTCATGATCCCAGGGTGCTGGGATCCAGTCCTTTATCATGCTCCTTGCTCAGCGGGGACCCTGCTTCTCCCTCTACCTGCCGCTGCCTCTGCTTGTAAACGTGTACTCTCTTTTTCTCTCTCTCTGACAAACAAATAAATAAAATCTTAAAAAAAAAATTTTTTTTAATGTCCCTCTTATGAGTTACATTACTATATTATTTTACTCCTTACAATACATACTACAAAATGTTAAATACAAAGTTAAACAACTGTGTATGTGAACCAGAAGTCAAGAGCACTTCACTTGTGTCTCTGCTTTGCTACTAACCAGCTGTGAAGCTAAGAACAATCCAAATGGTATTTACTGGCAGTTAGGATGAGAAAGGCACGGGCCAGTTACTATACATACAAAGATGAACAGACATCACTAACAACAAATCACTTGGCTTCTGTGAGTCTTGGGCTTCTCAGTGTTAATATGGAGAATGAATTAACTTGATATGCTCTCCTAGCTCTAGAATCTGATTTTAAAAGATTTTTCCAATTGTTGTCTCAAGTATTACATTTTGGGGGTGCCTCTCTGGCTCAACTGGTGGAGCGTAAGACTCTTGACTTCAGGGTTGTGAGTTTGGGCCCCATACTGGGTGTCAAGATGACTTAAAAATAAAATCTTTAGGGGCACCTGGGTGGCTCAGTGGGTTAAAGCCTCTGCCTTCGGCTCAGGTCATGATCCCAGGGTCCTGGGATAGAGCCCCACATTGGGCTCTCTGCTCAGCGGGGAGCCTGCTTCCTCCTCTCTCCCTGCCTGCCTCTCTGCCTACTTGTAATCTCTATCAAATAAATAAAATCTTTTAAAAAAATAATTAAAATCTTTAAAAACACTTAAAAAATAAAAAAAAAAGGTACTACAGTCTTGACTAAATTGTAGCTAACGACCAGAAAAATGTTCAAACAGTAACAAAAAAATACCATATCAATACAAAATACTCAAACTAATATGCAAGTAATAAAATAAATCAGAATGGAAAATAACCCCAGAGCAAATCATGCTCTACAGTTAGATGAAGATTACAAGGAAAATCCTTTGAAATGCATATTCAGTCAGATGAGGGTGAGGATTCCAAATGCAATGCTTTAAGTTTACACAGTCTGGGGATATTTCCTTTACTCTTCCTAGAGGCAGAGTTTGGTGTCCAAAAGAAAATGAAATCCTAAACTTGTAGAAAGCATAAATTTGAATATGAAAATCATCTGTCTACACCAAAATACTCAAAATACTGGACAGGCAGGAAACAAAGAAATAACATGGCCTTGTATAGGACTTAAAAAGGTCTAAAAGATGGCCAACATCCTTAAGTTCCAAAGCTAACTTCTTACGACACTGAGTAAGGATCGACAAAGATTTCATGCAAAGACAGGGAGAAAAAGTTGCATATTCTTAGATTTCTTTTTCAAAATTAACTTACATCATTACGTATAACTTCCCTGGAATCCGCTAATAAGTCCATCAATCTTGAAACACCTAGAACATATAACCATGTGAAATACAATGGTTTAATCAAAATACAAATGATTTAAATTATACAATTTATTAACACATCAATTTCAGTTCCCCTCTTTAGGTATGAGGCTCACTTTTAAATCAAAATTATTTAAGGAAGATGAGTCACTTACCCATGGGACTGACTAAAATAATTTGCTGCACCTGAGGTCCTAGTTGTTTTAAAAGAGAAGTAAGAAGCTTCACACCAGGCCAGCGCACATGGAAATCAAATTCCTGCAATGTAAGAATTTAAAATATTTAAAATCTGTAATTTACATATTTAAGAAAAACATTTTTTCAACTAATAGTGGTGCCAAAAACTACAAACATAGTTTAACAAACTTTAAAAAAGTAACTTGAAAAATAAATAGAAAACAGTTAATATAAATTGATTAAACTTTTCCTGACTAGGTAAAATAAAAATACATATAAGCAGACAATATTTTAACAAATTATACAGTCCTTAAAACATGCATGTGAATCTCTTGCAATGATACAACAAATTTCATGACCTTAAAAAGGTATAGTATATGTTGCTTCCTCAACACCCAAAAAGACAAAAAAAAAAAAAAAAGCTTATTAAGATGACAAAAATAGCAAGATTCTTTATTTACCTCCAACAAAGATAACAGCAGAGTGACATTTTCCGGCTGCTTAATAAAAATTTCTGTAAACTGGCTTCCCAAATCCTCACTCTGTCTTGTGGAATTTTCTTCTGTAATATTCAAAGATAAAGTACTTCAATATGATGCTGTTATTATAAAGTATCCTTTTTGTTGAGGGGCTAAGCAGAAATGAGAATTTTCTTAGAATAGTATGGCTGGTAATAATAGCACAGTTATGCTGAAAAGATTATCCTTAAAATAACTTTCAATATCATTTAAATAAATAGTTATTCTTTAAATGCTTAAATATGGGGCACCTGGGTGGCTCAGTGGGTTAAGCCTCTGCCTTTGGCTCAGGTCGTGATCCCAGAGTCCTGGGATCAAGGCCCACATCGGGCTCTCTGCTAGCCAGGGAGCCTGCTTCTTCCTCTTTCTGTGCCTGCCTCTCTGCCTACTTGTGATCTCTGTCAAATAAATAAATAAAATCTTTAAAAAAAAAATGCTTAAATATGATATTCAGGGGCGCCTGGGTGGCTCAGTGGGTTAAAGCCTCTCTGCCTTTGGCTCAGGTCATGATCTTGGGGTCCTGTGATCAAGCCCTGCATTGGGTTCTCTGCTCAGCAGGGAGCCTTCTTACCCCTCTATCTCTGCCTGCCTCTCTGCCTACTTGCGATCTCTCTCTGTCAAATAAATAAATAAAATCTTAAAAAAATAAAAAAAATATGATAGTCAAAGAAAAGACATCTAAATTTTCACATCTTTTCAAAGACATTTTTAGGTTAAACTTCTAATTAGGGTACAAAGGAGCTTAGTAGGGGGTATAGCTCAGTGGTAGAGCATTTGACTGCAAAGGAGCTTAGTAGAGTGATGGAGATATTCTACCTCAAATACGATAGTGATCACACTATGGCATACATATGCCAAAACACACAGGATTATATAACCACACAGAGTAAATTTCACTGTGTATAAATTATACCCAAAACCAGCCTCCCCCCAAAATATTATTGAACACAAAGTCCTTGTTGACTGTTAGTGTTGCTGTGTTAAATGATTTAATTACAAAATTAAACCAATCATCTGCATATTATTATTTTCTCAAAAATATCAACATATATATACTATAAATTGTCAATAAAATCAGAATTTGATATTTACTTTTACATTTACTCCTTAAAAGATTTTATAATTGTCCTTAAGACTCAACAGTCTTTAGATTAAACTATACATTGTTTCAATATCAAAAAAATGTAAAGGACCACTAAAAACTGAAGCGATGATCACCAAAACAAATTACCATTTAAAATCTGCCTATGCTATATATTCAACTTAGAGACGGCAAATACACTACTCCCCATACCCTCCCCCATGCCACACAACCAACCCTTTCCTACATATTGTTCCTGGGCAGTGACTATAAACCAATGGAGCTGGCAGTCAAGCTTCCTCTAACAGTCCTTTTCTAATGTGAGATTTTTAATATTAACATACTTTAGAAATGGAAAAAACCCAGCAGATGATAGGAAAAGCAAAGCAATCCAACAGTGACAGTGATAATCACATCTAATTATTTGTAGAAAAAAGGAGAGCAAAAGTAGAAGTGTTTTTCCATCCTAAGTACCCACATATGCCAGTTTACCGTTCAGAAACTCTAGGAAATATTTCTCTTATCATCTCGTGTCAGTAAAGAACTAAATGCTTTTGGGCCTTGAAATTACATTGCTTACAAAATACTTCAGCTTTAAAAGGATTATTCTGGCAGCTGTGCTGAGAACAGAATGTCAGGGGAACAAGGAAAATAGGGAGACAATAATCAACATGACAAAAGGGAAGCAACGATCAAAGAAAGCAGTAAAGATGGCTTAGACCTCAGTGGTGGTAATTTTTATGAAATTTACTGTTTATTGAGATGAAAAACACTGTGAAGAAGCAAGCTAAGAGTACAGAGGGAGTTTCATTTTGACATAAAGATTTGAGCGGCGATATCAAGTAAGCAGTTGGACAAACAAGCAGTTTGGATTGGAGATACATAAGAGTGGTAAACATAAATGATATTTAAAGTCACAAAACTGGATGATAAAGAGCATTTATAAAGTACTCCCAGCTAACATCGCACTTAATGGTGAAAGACTGAATGCTTTCCACCTGAGATCAGTGAAGAGGCAAGAATACCCATTTGACCACTTCCAGTCAACTCTGTACTGGTCATCTTTGTGCCATAAGGCAGAAAAAAGACAAAAAAAGGCATACAGATTGGAAAGGAAGAAATAAAACTGTCTTTATTTACAGGTGACGTATTTATGTAAAAAATCCTATGAACTCTATAAAAAAGCTATTAGAACTAGTAAGTGAGGTTAGCCAAATTATGGGATAAAAGGTCAGTATACAAAATTAACTGATTTCTATATATTAGCATATACAGAAATTGGCATATATTAGAAACTGAAATTTTTTAAAAAGTACCACTTAATTTTTTTTTAAAAGATTTTATTTATTTATTTGACAGACAGAGATCACAAGTAGGCAAAGAGGCAGGCATAGAGAGAGGAGGAAGCAATCTCCCTGCTGAGCAGAGAGCCAGATACAGGGCTCGATCCCATGACCGTGTGATCATGACCCGAGCCAAAGGCAGAGGCTTTAACCCACTGAGCCACTCAGGCGCCCCAACAGTACCACTTAAAACAGCACCAAAAATTATTAAAGATTTAGGGATAAATTTGACGAGATATATAAGAATTATGCTTTGAGGGAGCACCTGGGTGGCTCAGTCGGTTAAGCATCTGCCCAGGCTCAGAGTCCTGGGATTAAGCCCTGCATCCGGCTCAGAAGGGAGCCTGCTTCTCCTTTTCCCTCTGCCTGCTGCTCCCCTTACTTGTGCATGCTCGCTCTCTCTCTCAAATAAATAAATAAAATCTTAAAAAAAAAAAAAGAATTGCTTTGGAAACTCCAAAATGGTACTGAAAGACATTAAAGGAAGGCCTAAATAAATATATCACTGTGTTCTGATATTAGAAGGCGCAACAGTGTTAAGATGTCAGTTTTCCCCAGATCAATCAACAGGCTGAACAGAATCTGAATCAAAATCTCAGTCAGCCTTTTTTGTTAGAAATTGACAAACTGATTCTAAGATTGATAAGGGAATGCAAAGAACCTAAAAGAGCCAAAAGAACTTTGAAAAACAACAAAGCTGGAGGACTTACATTTCAAAATTTCAAGAGTATAAAGCTACAGTAGCAAGACAGTATCCTATTGGATTGGCAAAATGACAGACATACAGACCAATAAAATACAAAGTCCAGAAACAGACCTATTAGTTCAAAATGGATCACAGACCTAAGTGTAAACTAGAAACCACAGACCTAATCACAGAAGTTAGAACTACAAAACTTTTAAAAGAAAACACAGGAGAGAATCTTAGTGATTTTAGGTTTGGCAAAGATTTCATAAATAGGAAACAGTCTAAATTACAAAAGAAAAAATTAATAAAGTGGATTAAAATTTAAAACTTTTGCTTTTCAAAATACCATGTTAGGAAAATCACAGACCAGAAGAAAATATTTGTGAAACAAACACGGCAAAGGATTTATATTTAGAATATATAAGGAATCCTTACAACTCAAGTATAAGATAAAAAAAAGAACAGTAAAAATGAACAGAAGATTTGAATAAACACTTCACCAGAAGAAAGTTATATGGAAGACCAAAAGAAAAAAAACACATGAAAAGTTGTTCAATATTATTATTCATTACAAAATTACAAATTAAAACTAATGTGAGATACTATCTCACACCTATTGGAATGGCTAACATTTTAAAAGACTGACTGTATCAGGTACTGGAGAGGATGTGGAGAGCCTGGAACTCTCACATATTCTCACACACATCCCAGTGGGCATGTAAAATGATACAACTACTTCGAAAAAAGTCTGGCAATTTCTAATAAAGCTAAACACATGCCTATTATATCCCTTAGACATTCTGCTCCTGGGTATTTACTGAAGAGAAATGAAAACACAGATCCGCACAAAGACTTGCATATGAATGTTTACAAAAGCTTTATATGTAATAGCTGAAAACTAGAAACAACCCCAAATGCCCTCCAAGGGAGCAATGAACTACAGAATACCACTCAACAATTTTTGAAAAATGAACTGTTGACATAAATGGGGCACCTGGGTGCCTCAGTGGGTTATGAATCTAACTCTTGATTTCGGCTCAGGTCATGATCTTGGCGTCGTGAGATGGAGCCCCACCTTGGGCTTGGAATTTTCTGCCTCTCCCTCCCCTTCTGCCCACCACCCCCATCCCCCTCTCCACCCCACTTAAACTCTCTCACATGCATGTGTGCTCTCTCAAATAAATATATAAAATAAAATCTTTAAAAAAAAAAGAAAGCTGTTGTGAAGGAGAAATCCGAATCAGGTTTTTATTAGAGTGGTGTAAATATGGTGGAGAATAAAAACTCAACCATAGGGGCCAGGCAGTAATATATGAGTGAAGCGGGCTGGGTGTGAGACAACAGGAAGGCTGGAGAGTGTATGCCCTACCGAAGGGAAACAGCAACCGACTGCCAAGTGTGAATGCAGGCCCAGCTGTCATCGGTCCTCGGGTTTTTTAGAAAAAATCTAAAATCCAAAATCTCATGTGAAAGCTCCCAATTTGTAATACCAGCAACTTATTTAAATTATTTTAAATATTAAGTGGGTCAAACAACCTTGCTTCTAAGACAGACAATGCCCTTGGGGCAAAAGATCGTGACCTCTAGAGAAAAGCTCAAAATAAAAGTATTGACATTTAGGAGAATATTATTAAAACTAATCTAAAAGAGAAAGGGAAAAAAATACACAGACTTAGTGAATTCTTCCTATGAAATGTTTTTTAAAATGCTGAAAAGTTTTTATATGGATAAACGTAAATAACTGAACTATGGGTTTAAGCTTTGGTCAGTATTTCTCAAAATGCCGGACAGTGTGGCATGTTAGTAAGTATCTGATGAAATCAAGAGCCTTTGTCCAAATGTATGTGGATTAAACAAAGCTGAACAGGTTTCTTTACGGCAGAATTCTCAGCACTTAATGTACTAATGTATATCTTGTGATGCTTCAGAGGGGAATATATAATGTTTTGTTTATTTAACTATGGGCTCTTTTAATATAGAGGACTCTGGGACTTTTGTGCCACACTTTAAGGAATGCAGGTTTAACCCAAGAAAATATTTAATTTAATGTCTGCATTGAGCACAAGCTAATAACTTGGCAAGAATAAGAATTAATACATCTGATTTGTTCTGTAGTTAAACTATATCAAATACTGTAGCTTAACAGGATATAATTAAGATCTATGTTTTGAATCGAACTAGTAAAATATGATCCTGTTCCAACGATCTATGATTCCTTCTGTTTTAATATTGTTGATTTTAAAAAAGTGTTAGTAAGATAAACTCCACTTCCTTTAAGTTATAGTCATAACATAGCACTTCTGAACTTTATTGTAGAGCCCTGTAAAAAATTAGCTAAGCAATTAAAGTAACATACAAAACTATTTTGATATAGCAGTAAATTAAGCTATTTATAGTAATTTACATATAAGCAGTTTACATAAGCCAACTACTATACTAATTACACCTAAAAGCTATAAACCAAAATTAAATTCATGAGAAATTATATTTATTTAAATGTAAGCTGAGGTATGAGACAAGTAAACCATCCTCTCTTATCCAATATACTTATTTTAAAACTCCTAGAGCTAAGTCTAGTTTTTTTACATTGTATAGATTATATTATGTACTATATGTTACACTTATATAGGCTGTAAAAGTATTGGCTCTTTAGTATAAGATAAATGAAAATGTAAGAACGTAATGGTCCTTTGTTACTATAGTGAAAATAAGTCTAAGATAGTTATATCAAATTCAAGATTGCTTTTTTAAAGTCCTTATTATATACACCTCTGGAAACATTTTAGGCCTATTTATATGATTGGCTTTCAAAACACATGTATATGTATTTTTATTCTTCAAATGTTTATTTATAATATCTCTAGAAATTGTAAATTTTTAATTTCTCAAGAGGTATAAACAATATTCAAAAAGATTTCTGAGAGACACCTGGGTGGCTCAGTCAAGACTGACTCTTGATTTTGCCTCAGGTTATAATCTCAAGGTTTCGAGACTGAGCCTGGCATTGGGCTCCAGGGTGGGCTCTGTGCTGGGCCTGCAGGCTGCTTAAAATTCTCTCTTCCCCTTTGCCTCTCTTCCCCTCCTCCTATAGTCACACATGCACTCTCATGTGCTCTCTTTCTCTCTCTCAAAAACAAAAACAAAAAACAACACAAAGAAAAGCCACAAAAAACAAAAAAATATTTCTGGACCTTCTCTTCGGAATTCCATTCCATATCAAGGTCATAAACCATATTACAGAGGACAAAACTGCTCCACAGAGAAAGATATTCTAGTAAAAGTTGTCCTAACTCACAGTGAAGGAATATCACTGTGAATATTTTGCACTGTGCTCAATTAAACAAGGACACCTGTATTTTTTAATGTTTCTCTAAATCCTCTTTAAACTAGTTATGTAAATTACAAGATTAATGAAAGATAATCTGGTCAGAAAAACAACTACAATTTATTAAATCAGAAATTTAACAAACCAGAATTTAAATAACAACTTGAAACCCAAAAAACCAAACCAAACCAAACCAAACAAACAAAACCTATGGGATACTTAGAAAAAAGTATATTAAAAAATACTATTGGGGCACCTGGGTGGCACCATCGGTTGAGCATCCAACTCTTGGTTTCAGCTCAGGTTGTGATCTCAGGGTTGTGAGATCGAGCCCCGTGTCAGGCTCTGCACTCAGTGCAGAGTCTACTTGGGAGTCTCTCTCCCTCTGCCCCTACTGCTCATGTTCTCTCTCTCTAAAATAAATAAATAAATCTAAAAAAAAAATGCTGTTATCCTACTTGCTAGATGATATTATGTAAGTTACATGTTTCTGGGCTTCTATTTTCTCACCATTAATTAGTTAATTAATTAATTAATTTTTCTCATATTTACAAAAGAGAAAAATACCACCTACCTCACAAGATGCTATGAGGCTCAAATAAGACAGTGGACATGAAAGCACTGTAAATTTTAAAGCTTTATACAAACATGATGAAATAATAATAGAAACAACAATGACTAATCTCTATCACCCAGCAAGGAAACCAGCTTATTATCACAAGAGTAAAGGCATCATGATTTGGTATTTTCTGCTTTCAAACAAGGGTTTCAAACATCACAAAGGTAAGGCTATCCATTTTAGTGAGTGAGTTAGCTTCTCGTTAAGTACAGTTAATTTTGTTATGCACCATTTTAAACCTACTTTAGATAAGACTATTCCCCTCCTCATTTTTAAAAAGTTAAGGGGATCTCAGGAAAAATGGCAAAACAAAATAAAGTTGGTTACTTTAATTATGAGGAAAAGAAATACTAATGTTAAAAATAAATGAAACTTAAAACAGACCACCAGAAAAAGTTAAGACAATATATTGGTGAGTTCTATGAATTAATACAAGAAATGTCATTAACCAGACATTATCGTGCTTGCATTATTTTAAAGGGACAATATCAACATGTAAGTATTCTCTAAACTGGAATATCTTCCAGTTCTTGCTGAATACATGTAAAATGTATACGTATACATACAGATGTATACATATTCAAATATTTTATATAAACCGCCTCAAAAGTTTTCTCCAAGAAGGACACAAAAAGTAATTTGTATGGACTGTCCTGCTAGAGAAAAAGCTTGAACATTGTTAAAAAATATACTAGAATATTTTCTGTGTTCTGGATAATGAACAGACTTAGTAACCATGGAAAAAATAAATAGCAATACAAGATTATCAAATATTTCCCTTTAATTAGGGAATTCTTACACAGTGAAACAAATCTCTACATTTTTTACCAGCCAGAAGAAACATCACTTGACAGTGTCCTTTTATATTACCAGAAATTATGCCTAAAAGCATCATGCATAAATGCAATCTTTTACCTTCAACATCATCTGAAAAGGTAGACAAAAATAAATAAATAAAAAGTAGGTGATGAAGAAAATAGTTTCTATGTAGTAGTATTCACAATAAAATAAATAAGAGCTTAAAAATGTCAAATAATATAATCTCTTAGAAGAAAAGGCTCATTCATTTTATTCAAAATCTGAGATAGCTTAAAAGAGATACAGCAAGCATATACTATATATTCAGGATTATGAGAGAGATTTATCATTAAATTAATGGATTATAAATATCCCCAAGGTAAAAAACTCTAAAATAAAGTTCATAATATCAGCTAAGAATTACCTTTTGATGAAGCAATAGAGAAAAAGTATTAATAATAGAAATGAAGGGCATATTTCTCAATATCTAGATTTTTTTTAAAATTGTTCCTTCAGAATAAATAAATTTTCAGAACAAAGTTTAAGTTCCTATTTTAATCTTCCCTGGAAAAAGTGATCCTACTACTGTTTCCCCAAGAACTGTTTATCTTGTTTTATCCAAAGAATCTTTTTTGGATGCTGAATTAAAAATAAAGAGCCCAAACACATAGAGACAAACAAAAAATTGGACTCTAACTATAATTATAAAATTATAATGAAGAAAAACCACATAACTAAAAATATTGCTGCTAAATGAGTCTTTAAAACACAAAAGTAAAAGAGCTATATTTCTAATATTAAACAAACAAAAAAGAAATATCTTTTATTGTAATGTGTTCTAACAAGTGTGTTGCACCTGGTTTTCTCATCTGAGAAATAACTAGAAGATAAATGTCTTTTTCTTCAGAGTGCGTTCTTGTGTGCATTGTATTTAAGTGTTGTTCAGTGAGTGACAGCATCTTATTCCATGGGTACCAAATCATGTTTACTAAAGATTTTTTTCAGGGTACGTGGGTGACTCAGTCAGTTTAGCATCTGCCTTCCCCTCAGGTCATGATGCCGGGGTCCTGGGGGTCCTGGGGATCAAGCCGCATTTCAGGCTCCCTGCTCAGCAGGAAGTCTGCTTCTCCCTCTCTCTGTGACCCTCCTCCCCACTTGTGCTTGCTCTCTCACATAAATAAATAAAATCTTAAAAAAAAAATATTTTCTGACCTCTGAGAAATAAAGTTGTTAGCTATCACAGAGAAAGAAAAATTTAAGAAAAATGGTATTTAAGTCCAAGAAATTGTGACCATTCGACACGACCCAGTTTCAAATGTTCCTATTACTGGTATTCTGTGAAGTTAGGACCTATATATATTTCCTCTCTATTTTTATCATAATAAAGTATACACAAACTTATAATTATCTATATTTCCTTATAATTTGTCTACTTAGAATTTTGAAAGATCTTATAATCTAAATTAAACTTCTAAAATGCAAATACGCCCACCTTTTCTGGCTGTCTAGAATAATGAAACACCCACTATGTCCTTCAACAGCCAATCTGGTGTGAAGAATGCATTCTTCAACGGCATTGTCAAATGTTACTTAATGAGTATGTTTTTATAATATATAGAAAGAAATGTATATAGATTTCTAGTTAAGTATTTCACATACTGACAATAAAGATGACAGACCACCTTATTTTATATATGCAAGTAAAGTGAAACAAAAATAGGAAAATTCACACCAAAGTGTGTGAATTTTGAACTTACTTCTATCATTTCACATCAGACTAATGTAAAAAAACTTCCTAAATTTAATAAGTTGTTGCTCTTTATAAGTTAACAAAAGTCCTATGTTAAAAGTTTAAGTATTTATTAAGAAAAACCCCCTCTAATTTCACATTGTTCACCAGATAGTAACATATAAATAAAAGTTTGTTTTTTAATAGGCAAAAATGATTCATTTAATATGAAATTACTAATATTCATACTACCTAACTAAAATCAAATACAAAAAGAGAACAAAATATTTTATAGAGGCGCGTGGGTGGCTCACTCAGTTAAGCTTCTGCCTCTAGTTCAGGTCATGATCCCAGGATCCTGGGATCGAGCCCCACTTTAGGGCTCCCTGCTCAGCGGGAGGTCTGCTTCTCCCATTCCCTCTGCCTGCTCATGCTCCCTCTGTCGCTCTCCCACTCAAATAAATAAAATCTAAAAAAGGAGTACCTAGGTGGTTTTATAAAAAAGGGGTGCCTGGGTGGTTCAGTCAATTAAGTGTTTTTTTTTTTTAAAGTAGGCTTGACGCCCAGCATGGAGACTCATGTAGGGCTTGAACTCACGACCCTGAGATCAAGACCTGAGCTGAGATCAAGAGTTGGATGATTAACTGACTGAGCCACCTAGGTGCTCTGTTAAGTATCCAACTCAAAGAGAGAAAGAAAGAAAGAAATGGAATTTTATAAAAAAGAACACTCTAATTCTACCTCCAAATAACATACAAAGCAATCATTTTAAATATATTTTTCTGGAACTAAGCCTATATCTTTCCTTACTACTTAAAGAAGAAAAATACCCTTATAAATAAATTTATAAAATAAATTCAATTTTAAAACCAGCAAAACTGGCACAACTCCAGGATATACAGCACATGCTATTTTATGTACAGAAACACCATAAAAGAAAAAAAAAAAGAAGACATAATAAAAGAAACTTACCTACTTCTTCTTCTTCATCATTAGATATTATATTGTACAGTGTGTCCAAAGCATAACCTATTATTTCAGAATCCGAACTGGAAAAAAGAAATTATTACACTTACATGTTGCTAGAGTGTAGATGGTTACGATCATTTTTAGACAGTTGTTATTTAGCAAGACTGTATAAAACATTAATCTAAAATCTATGCTAAGAAAATATCAGAGTGCAAGCTTAAAGAACATATAAAGGTTATTTATAATAGTGGAAACTTAGAAGCAACCTAAATGTGTAATATTTTAAAAAGTATAGTAGCAATGAAAAACAGTATTTTTAAAGAATGTTTAATGACACAGTAATTAAAACACCCTTGATATAATGCCAGTAGAAAAATTAAATAAAAAAATTAATATACAGGAGTGCCTGGGTGGCTCAGTGGGTTAAAGGCCTCTGCCTTCGGCTCAGGTCATGATCCCAGGGTCCTGGGATCGAGCCCCACATCGGGCTCTCTGCTCAGCAGGGAGCCTGCTTCCTCTTCTCTCTCTGCCTGCCTCTCTGCCTACTTGTGATCTCTGTCAAATAAGTAAATAAAATCTTAAAAAAAAAAAAAAAGTGGGGCGCCTGGGTGGCTCAGTGGGTTAAAGCCTCTGCCTTCGGCTCAGGTCGTGATCCCAGGGTCCTGGGATCGAGCCCGGCATCGGGCTCTCTGCTCCGCGGGGAGCCTGCTTCCTCCTCTATCTCTGCCTGCCTCTCTGCCTACTTGTGATCTCTCTCCCTGACAAATAAATAAATAAATAAAATCTTAAAAAAAAAGGTAATATATAGAATGACCCCATTTAGCAAAAAATACATATATATTCCTGTGTGTGACTATACATATATATTTTAAAAACAACTTATAAATAAATTTGTAAAGTAAATTCAACTTTAAAACCAGCAAAGTTAGTATAACCCAGGTAATTTTATGGGTATGTGTTTATGTTTATATACATGTTTTTGTTTTTGTTTTTTAGATTTTATTTATTTGACACAGAGAGAGAGAAATCACAAGTAGGCAGAGAGGCAGGCAGGGGGCGGGGGTGGGGGGAGCAGGCTCCCTGCTGAGCAGAGAGCCGGATCAGGGACTCGATCCCAAGACCCTGAGATCATGACCTGAGCCAAAGGCTGAGGCCTAACCCACTGAGCCACCCAGGTGCCCTATATATATGTTTTGTCATAGCAATCTTTAACCGTGGTATCCCTAATCGGACTACTAGAATTTGTTTTCCTGCTCTGTACTTTATTTTCTAAAAACACACAAACAGAACAAGAAACTTACGGTAAAGATAATACTATTTATAAAATCAGGGAGTATGAGGCTGTAGCTGTTGATAGACAAATTTTGTTTTTGGGGTTTTTTTTTTTTTTTAGATTTTGTTTGTTTGAGAGAGAGAGAGAGGGAGTGAGAGAGAGAGCACAAGTGAGGAGAGCGACAGAGGAAGAGACAGGCTTTCTGCCAAGCAGCGAGCCCGATGCAGGGCTCGATCCCAGGACCCTGAGACCATGACCTGAAGTGAAGGCAGACGCTTAACCCACTGAGCCACCCAGGCATCCCTAGATATTCCTGAGATAAAGGTTAAGAAACAGATTTTTAAAAACATTTGCCACACATGTACGATGCTTGGCAGGAGGTGTACCAGGGGCCAGCGAATGTGTGAACTCCCAGCCATACCAGGTAGGGGCTGCTTTGGTGTTTTATTGTGCCTCTTAGACAACAAAGCTAAGCATCTAAGCATCTATGAGTCCTCTTGCATTTCATTCCTTTTCTTGTGCTAAATTAAATTCCCTTTCCGTTTGCCTCTAATACTTATTTATTGCTTTTTCTTTCCCAAGTGTTCCAAGTGATTTTTTTAACCTCATGGAATGCGAAGAAAGGTCTGTGTTCTGCAGCCATCTCCTTCCATAGCTCCTCTTCATTAATGTTTTTTCGTTTGTTTGCTTTGTTGTTGTTGCTGTTTTAAGTAAACTCTATGCCCAACCTTGGGCTCGAACTCACGACCCCGGAGACCAAGAGACGTATGCGCTATGGACTGAGCCAGCCAGGCGCCCCTCTTCATTACTGTTTTACGCTTCTTCTCCGGGCCTTTGCAGCTAACACTCTCGGACGCATCCACTGAATCCCCTTCGTCCTTGGCTACATCCCAGAAAACTCTGCTCCCTTTCGTGACAAAGCTTGAAACCCTCCCTCTGTCGGCGGGTCTGCTTCTTTGACCGTCACATTGAAGAGAGATTGCTCATTTTCCTAAGTCCTACACTCAGAGCCCGAAAGTGGTCTAATTTCTCACTGTTTCCAAACCATGACACCTAGATAGTAATTTTAATAACTGAGATAATTTGTATACCATAAAGTTCACCCTTTTAAAGTGTTCACCTCCATGGGTTTAGTATATCCACAGAGCTGCGCAACCATCACCACTATCTGAGTCCAGAACATTTTCTTTTTGCCTTTTTCTAAAGCTTTTTTTTTTTTTTTTGAAGATTTTACTTATTTATTTGTCAGAGAGAAAGAGAGAGAGAGCATAAGCAGGGGGAGCTGCAGGCAGAGGCAGAAGCAGGCTCCCTGCTGAGCAGGCAGCCCAATATGGGCCCTGATTCCAGGACCCTGGGATCACAACCTGAACTGAAGGCAGACGCTTACTCACTCAGCCACTGAGGCATCCCTAAAGCTTTTATTTATAAGAAATCTCTATGCCCAGTATGGGGCTTGAACTCATAACCCTGAGATCAAGAGCTGCACACTCCACTGAGCCAACCAGGGGCCCCAAAACTCAGAACATTTCATCACATCATAAGAAATCCTGTATCCATTAGCCATCATTCCTATCCTCCTCCCCCCAGTGCCTGGCAAACACTAATCCACTTTCTGTGTCTATAGATTTTTGGTTTGTTTTTTTTTTTTTAAGAGGGAGGGAGAGGGATGGATGGAGACAGACAAGAGAATTTTCAGAGGCTCTATGCCCAGCACAAGCCCAACTTGTTCTAATCATTGCACATACATCAAACCGTTGAAGCCTCAGAACAATCCAACAAGACAGGTGCTATTGTTACCCCCATTTTATTTTATTTTATTCCTTAGAGAGAGAGAGAGAGGGCATGAGCAGCTGGGAGGGCAGGAAGGGGCAGAGGGAGAGGCAGAGAGAGAATCCTAGCAGATTCCAATAGCTATTGTGGCTCTTATGAACAACGCTGCTATGAATTTTCACGTACTAGCTTTTGTGTCAGGCCATGTGGCAACCCCATGTTTGACTTTCTGAGGAACTGTCACACTTCCACAGAAGCTGCACCATCTTCTAATCCCACCAGCCATGTTTGAAGGTCCAGTTTCTCCTCAGCAACATTTGTTATCGTCCTTCTCTGTCCCTCCCTTAACAGCCATCCTAATGAGTTCAAGCTGGTGTTTCATTTTGGTTTTGATTAGTGTTTCCTTAATGACTATTTTGAGCATCTTTTAATGTGTTTATCTACCATTTGTATCCTTTTTTGGGAGAAATTTGTATTCAAACCCTTTGCCTGTTTCCCCCCCCCTCAAGATTTCATTTATTTATTTATTTGAGAGCGAGAGCGAGAGTGAGAGACGCAGCTAGAGAGAGCTGGGAGCCTGACTCAGGGCCTAAACCCAGGACCCCAGGATCATGACCCAAGCCAAAGGCAGATGCTCAGACACCCAGGCACCCCATCTGCCTGTCTCTATTTGGGTTACTTATCTTTTTATTGTTGAATTGTGTATGTATTCTTAATGTAAGTCCCTTATCAGACATATGATTTGCATATACTTTCTCCCATCCTTTGGGTTGTCTTTTTACTTTCTTGATAGGGTCCTTTGAAGCATAAAAGTTTTTAATTTTAACAAAGTCCAGTTTATCTCTTTTGTCTTTTCTTGGTCATGCTTTTAGTGTCATATGTAAGGAACCATTGCCTAAGCCAAGGTTTTGACAAATTACGCCTGTGGTTTTTCTAAGGGTTTTAGCTTTAGCTCTTACATTTAGGTCTTTGATCCCTTTTGAGCTAATTTTTGTGTACGGTGTGAAGTGAGTATTTAGTTGTCCCCACACCATTTGTTGAAGAAACTGTTCTTTCTCCATTGTGGTCTTTAACACCTTGCCAAAAATCAGTTTAAATGAATGTTGGGTTTTGTCTCTAGCTTTTTTATTTTTGTTGATCTATACGTCTGTCCTTAATGCCACTGCCACAAAGTCTTGTTTACTATCATTTTGTGGCAAGTATTAAAATCAGGAAATATGAGCCCTTCAACTTTGTTCTTTTTCAAGGTAGTTGGGATCTACTGTGGATCCTGTGCAATCCCATACAAATTTTATGATCAGCTTGTTAATTTCTACAGAAGCGGCAACTAGGATTTCCATAGTGATTATGTGAATCTGTAAATCAAGTTGGAGTGTATTACCGTCTTAAAAATATATTCCTTCTTTCTGTCCATGAAGGACACAGAATGTATTTTCATTTATTTGAATCTCAGGTAATTTCTTTCAATAATGTGTTGTGGTTTCCAGTGTACACTTCTTACGCCTTTTTTATAAAATTTATTCCAAAGTATTTTAATCTTTTTTACGTTACTTAAATGGAACTGTTTTCTTAATTCTGTTTACTGATTATTCATTGCTAGTATACAGAAATATAATTTTTTAAATTTTTTAACTTAATTTTTTTTTTTTTTTTTTTTTAAGATTTTATTTATTTTTCAGCGACAGAGGGAGAGCGAGCGAGCACAGGCAGACAGAGGCAGAGGGAGAGGGAGAAGCAGGCTCCCCGCCGAGCAAGGAGCCCGATGTGGGACTCGATCCCAGGGTGCTGGGATCATGACCTGAGCCGAAGGCAGCCGCTTAACCAACTGAGCCACCCAGGCGTCCCTTTAACTTAATTTTTAAAAAATTTTTATTTATTTATTTGAGAGAGAGAGAGTGTGTGTGTGTGAGAGAGAGAGCATGAGAGGGGAGAAGGTCAGAGGGAGAAGCAGACTCCCCAAGGAGCTGGAAGTCTGATGTGGGACTCAATCATAGGACTCTGGGATCATGACCTGAGCCGAAGGCAGTTGCTTAACCAACTGAACCACCCAGGCACCCTAGAAATATATATTTTTTTATATTGAGCTTATATCCTTCAACTTTCCTGTATTTATTAGTTCTGATAGCTTTTTAGTGGATTCCTAAGGATCTTCTATATACAAGATCATATCGCCTATGAATATGTGTAATTTTACTTCTTCCTCTCCAATCAGTATACCTTTTATTTCCTTTCCTTGCCCAATTGCTTTAGCTAGAGCTTCCATTTCAGTGTTGGACAGAGGTGGTTAAAGGGAACATCATGATCTTGTTCCCGATCTTACGTGGAAAGCGCTCAGTTCTTCACCATTGCATCTGATGATCTGGGATTTTCATAGATTCTCTTTATTATTTTGAAGAAATTTCTTTCTATTCCCAGTTCCTTAATACTCTCTTAAAAGATGCTCCTCAGGGGTGCCTGGGTGGCTCAATTGCTAAGTATCCACCTTTGGTTCGGGTCATGATCCCAGGGTCCTGGGATCAAGCCCTGCACTGGGTGCCCCATCTGGCAGGAAGCCTGCTTCTCCCTCTCCCACTCCCCCAGCTTGTGTTCCCTCTCTTGCTGTGTCTCTCTCAAGTGAACAAATAAAAATCTTAAAAAAAAAAAAAAAAAAGATGCTCTTCAAAATTTCTCAAAAACAAAATGATAAATATTTTTATAAATAAAATTTTTAAAGCCTACTTTACTTGAGATTTATATTTTTTTAAAGATTTTACTTATTTGAGAGAGAGAGAGAGAGAGCGAGCATGAGAGGGGAGATGGTCAGAGGGAGAAGCAGACTCCCCGTGAAGCTGGGAGCCCAATGCGGGAGTTGACCTGAGCTGAAGGCAGTCGCTTAACCAACTGAGCCACCCAGGCGCTCTCCCTTGAGATTTATATCTGGTTGTGATCCACTTTGCCTATCATCTTATTTCATTTACCACTCCTAACCACTTCTTCATATTCACTGAATCTTTGTGTCCTGTGTCTCACTCTTGCTTTCCACTCTAAATGCCATCGTCATCCATCATGCTTTCACAATCTGTCTATTGGGGTGCCTGGGTGGCTCAGTGGGTTAAGCGTCTGCCTTTGGCTCAGGTCATGATCCTGGGGTCCTGGGATCAAGTCCCTCATCGGGCTCTCTGCTCAATGGAGAACCTGCTTCTCCCTCTCACAAATAAATAGGTAAACTCTTAAAAAAAAAAAAAAAAAAAAGAAAGAGCGAATACCTAAGATCTACACATCCATTTTCAGCTATGCACTTAAAATGTCAGTAACATTCACTTTATATAATAGGCAGCATTCTATTTTCCATACTGAGATATTAGTGATTTCATTAGTAACTTTGAAAGACTAAGTGAGAAAAGGTATACATGGAGTAAAAAAGAAAACTTATAGATTATATGTATGTATAATCATCACACTAAAGTTTTTTTGATCTAGGATCCATTTTCTCTAACCTGGACTATTACTGAAAGCACAAAACTAACGTTAGTTTACTGCAATCGTTTTCAACTGATGCTATAACAAATTACCACAAACTCAGTGGCTTAAACAATACAAATATATTATCTTAAAGTTCTAGATGTCAGAATCCGAAATGGGTCTCCTGCACCAAAATCAAGGTTTCAGTAGGGCCGCCTTCCTGTCTACAGGCTCTAGGGGGGAAATCTGCTTCTGTGCCTTCTACAGGTCTCTAGAGACCCCCTTCCTCCATCTTCAAAACTAGCAACGATAGGTCCAGATCTTCCATATCACCTCATTCTGACCTCCTCTTGTGCATTCCTGTTCCACTTTTAAGAAACCTCGGGATTACACTGGGCCCACCGGGATAACGCAGGATAATCTCTCCATCTCAAAGTCCTTAATCATACCTGCAAGTGTCTTTTGCCCTCCAGGGTAGCATTCATAGGTTGTGGTAATAAGTATGTAAACATACTTGGGGGGCTATTATTCTGCCTGTGGTAGGCAGATGTCATTAAACAGATAATTTTAACACATCCAATGCATTTATTCAAATGCATTAGAATTAGTTGGCTTTGAAGAGGTAGCCAATGTGGGGTGTACTGTCGGAGAAAAGGAAAGGTCCTAACTGGTGCAAACAAGCAATTGGGCATTGCTGGTACATAACTGAAACACAGGCTCTGAGGTTAGGCAATACCAAGACCTTTAAAAAGCTTATACGCATCACTTTGTTTAAGAACTTGGGACTTCAGGGGTGCCTGGGTGGCTGAGTTGTTTGGGCGTCTTGGGCTCACATCATGACCTCAGGGTTCAATCCCAGGATCTTGGGATCAAGCCCCGAGTCGGGCTCTCTGCTCAGTGGGAAGTCTGCTTCTCCCTCTCCCCCTCCCCCTGCTGTGTTCTTTCTTTCAAATAAATAAATGAAATCTTTAAACAAAAACAAAAACAAAAACTTAGACTTCACATTGCACTGAGCTGCTGAAATTCATTAAATAAAAAAAGGTTTATACATCAGACTTACAGCGCATAGACTGGAGGGACAAAAAGATCAGAGGCAAAGAATACAGTTTGGAAATAGTCGTGGTTTTAAGCTATGTTCAAAAACTCTTTGATACAGATCCCGTCAAGGGATGGAACCAAATTCTCCTCCTCTTAGGTGTATGCTGTATTTATAAGCTTGCTTCTAACAAACAGAATGTGATAGGCTTAATGGTGTGTGACTTGTGACACTAAGCCCTAAAAGGCCTTATGGTTTTCTCCTTGTCTCTAGGCTTGCTTGCTCTAGGAGAAGCCAGTTACCGCATCCTAAGGATGCTCAAGCCGCCTTACAGGGAGAGCAACATGGTGAGGTAGTGAAGCCTCCTGCCATTAGCAAAGTGATCGCGCCATCTTGGAATTGGATCTTTCCAACTGAGCCTTCAGATGACTGCAGTCCTGGCTAAAATCTTGACTGCAACTTGGAGAGAGACCCTGAGCCAGAACCACCTAGCTAAGTCACTGCTGGATCTCTGATCCACAGAAAGTATGAGATAATAAATACTGACCACTGTGAGCCACTAAGTTCTGAGGTAACTTGTTACACAGCAAAAAGTAATAATATGGGCGCCTGAGTGGCTCAGTGGGTTAGGCCGCTGCCTTCGGCTCAGGTCATGATCTCGGAATCCTGGGATCGAGTCCCGCATCGGGCTCTCTGATCAGTGGGGAGCCTGCTTCCCTCTCTCTCTCTCTGCCTGCCTCTCTGCCTACTTGTGATCTCTCTCTGTCAAATAAATAATAAATAAAAATCTTTAAAAAAAAAAGTAATAATAATAATAACAATAAAGATAACTAATACAGCAGCTCTGAAAATCATTTCCATGACTAATACTGAGCCAGAACTAAAGATTAACAAAGGAAATTGGGAGAACTTCATGAATTCCAGCGGGGTTTTGGTCTAGATAAGCATAATGGGTTAAGGAGAGGGCCAAGTTCAGCAAGAATCCTATAGTTTCTTGCTTAAATGGAAAGGCACTATCAACTAGGTTGGACTTGGGTCAAAAGGCAGTTGAAGGAGATGGTGGGGGGAGGCAGTTGGGAGCAGGAAAACAAGATATAAATTAACTCATGAACATTCTGAATTGGAGATATCAGCGAGAGATCTTGATATGGTAGAAGCGTTCACTACGCAGTTAAAGGTTGTAATACATACTCACTTAGAGGTAAGATGTTTGAAAGCTATCGACGCACAGTTGTTAATTAAAACCAAAGGTGCAGGGCATTCGGGTGGCACAGTCAGTTAAGTGCCTGACTCTTGATTTTCACTCAGGTGGTGATCTCGGGGTCCTGGGATTGAGCCCTGCATTGGGCTCTCTGCTCAGCATGGAGCCTGCTTCCCCCTCTCTCTCTGCCTGCCTCTCTGCCTACTTATGATCTCTCTCTCTGTCAAATAAATAAAATCTTAACAAAAATAAATAAAAGAATCACTCTTCTTCTCCCTCTGCCCTTCCCTCCCCCATGAGCACTCACTCTCTCTATAAAATAAATACATCTTAAAAAAAAAAAAGATGCAGATAAAATCTCTTAAAAGGGAAACTAAAAGAGATAAAAATAGGCTGAGTGACCTTTCTTTTAGAACATGCTCAGATCTAACACTTAGTCCAGTTTATTTCTCCAAAAAAGCAAGTCTGGATAACTGATATACAATAATATGTATATTATACTATAGAATAGCATATTACAACTAAGTGAATATCAAAACATCCAATTGCCCAAATCAAACCCCAAATCTTCACCTTTTAATGATAAGTCACTTCATTTCATTTTTATGTAATGGAAAGATTTCAAACCCTGAGATTATGCCTGTCTTAATGCTTATTAGCACAGTGGTTTGCACCTTGTGTCCAATATTTATTGAAATAAGATTATTAAGTTTAATGATCTTAATAAGTTAATCATTTCTAGAATAGTGACTCTAAAACAAATTAATTAAAATTGCAAGAAAAATTAGGGAGAAAAATCATTAAAAAGAGACTTACCGATCTGTTTGTAATACATGGATAAGATGTTCCATAGCTTGTATACCCACTTCCAAGCGGTATTTCTGCATAAAAGAAAAATGCTATTAAAGTAACTAATGTCCAACTTAGTAAACTTAGTAAGTGATACAGCATTACTGACCTTAGATAATGATTTGAGAGCACGCACAGCATTTCTTCGATCATCTAGTAAAGTAGATGAAGCCACTCTGTCACAAAGCTTTTGAATCTGTCATGGGAAAATGAAACAGCATTAACAGAATCCACAAAACAAAATAGAAACATGAAGTTCTCCCCTAAATTTATACCATCTAATTTTGAAAAAAAAAAAAAAAAGCAATAAATGGGATGTCATGGAAATGGTCTTTCACGAATCTAAATATTCAGGTGGTTTTATAAGCTTATTATAGAGAAACAAGATTTTTCACACTCTTGACAATGAGAAGTGGTGGAAGAAAAGTAAGTCACATAAATTGAGGAATTAAGAGAAATCATTAGTAGAATCTGAGTGTTCTAAACATGCTGTTTACAACTGTTTGAGCCAAGAGGGAAACAGGGTTATGGTAGAAGATGTGAAGTTATTTAAAAAGAAATTTTTAAAAAAGATTTTATTTATTTGACAGAGAGACAGCAAGAGAGGGAACACGAGCAAGGGGAGTGGGAGAGGGAGAAGCAGGCTTCCCGCTGAGCAGGGAACCCCATGTGGGGCTCGAACCTAGGACCCTAAGATCATGACCTGAACTAAAGGCAGACACTTAATGACTGAACCATCCAGGCACCCCTGAAAAATTTTTTTTAAATACTTGTTTACATTAAAACTTCACCCTAATGTTTCCACTAAGTATTTGAACAAGAAAAGCCAGAACTGATATGTCAAAAATTTTAAGTGTGCCTCAAGATTTATAAAGATTAAATGTTTCTATTAGAAAAGCTTTTAATAAATTTGCAGGAATTAAAGTTCAAGCTGAATTTTAAAATAAACCTTTGGGCATTATTTATAATAGAAAAAAACTGGAAACAACTGTTCATCAAAAGAAGAAAAACTACGAAAACTGTCATACATTCTTTGGTAGAACACTATGCAACTACTCAAAACAATTAATTGTACTGATATGAAAATACTATATAATAAACAGTGGGAAAAAAAGAAAAGGAAGTTATAAAACAACTAGATGTAAATTATGAAGCCACTGAAGCAAAAGTACCAAACTGTATACGTAAAATTGCATTAGAAAAAATCTGGAGGGGCGCCTAGGTGGCTCAGTTGATTAAGCCTCCAACTCTTCTTCTTCTTTTTTTTTTTTAAAGATTTTATTTATTTATTTGACAGAGAGATAGATCACAAGTAGGCACAGAGGCAGGCAGAGAGAGGGGGAAGAAGGCTCCCTGCCGAGCAGAGAGCCAAATGCAGGGCTCGATCTCAGGACTCTGAGATCATGACCTAAGCTGAAGGCAGAGGCTTAACCCACTGAGCCACTCAGGCACCCAAGCCTCCAACTCTTGATACCATCTCAGGTCATGATCTCAGGTCATGAGATGGACCCCTGCATCTGACTCCATGCTGACCGTGGAGCCCATTTAAGATTCTCTCTCAGGATGCCTGGATGGCTCAGTTGGTTAAGCATCTGTTTTCGGATCCAGTCGTGATCTCGGGATTAAGGATTGAGTCATAGTGGGGCTCCTTGCTCAGCACGGAGCATGCTTCTCCCTCTGCCTGCCACTCTCCCTGCTTGTGCTCTCTCTTTCTCAAATAAATAAATAAATTTTTTAATAAAGAAAATCTTTCTTTTTTAAAGATTTTATTTATTTATTTGAGAGATAAAGAGAGCATGAACACAAACAGGGAGAGAGGCACATAGAGGGAGAGAGAAGTCTGATGCAGGGCTCCATCCCAGGACCCTAGGATCATGAACCAAGCTAGGATCATGTACCGAGCCGAAGGCAGATGCTTAACCAACTGAGCCACCCAGGTACCCCTGAATAAATAAAATCTTAAAATAAATAAATAAATAAAATCTTAAAAAAAAAAAAAAAGAAAAAAAAAAGATTATCTCTCTCTGCCCTCCCACCTCCACACCCTGTGGCCACCCCCCCCATCTTGCTCAAAAAAATATAAATTAAAAAAAAAAAATTTGTAACAGACATAAGAATTAACTGCATGTCTTAAGATTAAAAAAAAAAAAAGAGTGAACAGATAAGCCACAGACTGGATGAATATATTTGTTTGCTTGTCTTTTAAATATTTTATTTATTTATTTATTTGAGAGAGAGGGAAAGCAAGAGAGCAAGAGCACGCAGGGAGTCTGGCAGAGGGAGTGGGGGAGCAAAGGGAGAAGCAGATTCCCTGCCAAGCAGCGAACCAGATGTGGGGACTCAATCCAAGGACTCTGGGATCATGACCTCAGCCAAAGGAAGACACTTAACTGACTGAGTGACACAGGCACCCTGGATGAAAATATTTGAAAACAATTGATAAAGAATAGTTTTTAGGGCGCCTGGGTGGCTCAGTGGGTTAAGCCGCTGCCTTCGGCTCAGGTCATGATCTCAGGGTCCTGGGATCAAGTCCCGCATCAGGCTCTCTGCTCAGCAGGGAGCCTGCTTCCCTCTCTCTCTCTCTCTCTCTGCCTGCCTCTCTGTCTACTTGTGATCTCTGTCAAATAAATAAATAAAAATATTAAAAAAAAAACAATAGTTTTTAAAACCATGATACTCAGGTCCTTTAAAGCTCTAACAGTTACTATTTTAAGTTACTATTCACTCTTTAATGACAGTTTCTTACTAAGAGTCTAAAAATAATACTTTGGCCTATCACTCACATTTCTGCATCCTATGTATCTGAATTAGTGGTGTTTAAATACACATAGTATGTGCCAAATTATGTTCTGCAGACTTCTAGTGTCCCAGAAGATATTAATAGATTTCTAATGATCATAGAAGCAGCAGGAAACACAAGGTCATACAAAATTAAATAGGTTTCTGCACTGCAGGATTTCTAAGTCTTTACTATGCTGATTTGCATTTCTTCATACAGCAGATATAGTATGATAACCAAGCCTAGCCTCGCTTTTTGATTTTATTCATCTAACTGCTCACATTTAGAAATTCCTACCTTAAACTGCATTTACTTTCATAATAATTACACTGACTTTCCTAAGTGCAAACAACACAACTTTCTCTTTATTAAACAACTGGTTGATTTTTTTTCTACCACAATTTTTCTTTTTTTACCATTAGAAAAACTACATAATTATCTCTTGAAAACATGAAGCATGTTACTCTCCATTTAAGGAATATCTTGGGCCAAAAATAGTTTTCCTAAGTATGACTGTAATTTCCTTTGCTTGGGTCTTATACAACTTTCGTTAGTTTTTTCTAGGTAGTTTATAACTGACAGTATGAATAGGAAATCGTATATAGGCATTTTCTGCTTTTTCCTACCCCCAAATCGCAAGCACTGGTTCTAGATCTGGGATTCTTCTCTCATGGAACACTGAGTCCCAGGACCACGCAGAGCTTGAACTTCAGCCGCAGCCTCAGTCTCATCTCTGTTAGTGTATACAAAGATATGTGTCAAAATAGGATCTTCCATGTCGAGAAACTCTTCAGTATTTGTTGAATCTGGACACTTGAAATCTACCTGATGCTGATGGAGAAACTTAGCTTTAGAAATACTGGCCCAAGACGATGGTAATCCTGGAGTTTGGGAGTTTGCTTTTGTTTTTATTCTCAGTCCTTTCTATGCTCTAAATATGCTAATATTTGAGCCTTGTTGATTTTTTTTTTTTAAAGATTTTATTTATTTATTTGACAGACAGAGATCACAAGTAGGCAGAGAGGCAGGCAGAGAGAGAGAGAGGAAGGGAAGCAGGCGCCCCGCTGAGCAGAGAGCCCGATGTGGGGCTCGATCCCAGGACCCTGGGATCATGACCCGAGCCGAAGGCAGCGGCTTAACCCACTGAGCCACCCAGGCGCCCCATGAGCCTTGTTGATTTTTTTAAAAAGCTTTGAAATATACACAAAGATAATCTTAGTTAAGATAAATACAAGTTAAAATAGCAATGAGGTTATTTTTACCTATGACTCACTAAGATTAAAATTAAATAATAGTACCAAATATAAATACTGTATGATTTCATTTTTATAAAATAAAAAAAAAGGCAAAGCTAATCTGTGCTATTAGAAGTCAGAACAGTGGTTACTCATGGAGTCGGGCAGAGACTGACTAGGAGCACAAAGCTGACTTTGGGTCCTGGTAATGTTCTGTTCCTTGATCTGGTTGCTGGTTACAAAGTTGTGTACAGGTTGTGAGGTTTATGCATATTTGAAATGCATATTTTCCTATACACTTTAAAAAATGATTTTTATTTCTTTTTTAAGATTTGATTTTGAAGCAATCTCTACATCCAATGTGGAACTTGAACTCACAACCCTGAGATGGAGAGTCACATGCTCTAGAGACTGAGCTAGCCAGGCGCCCCAATAAAATGATTTTTTAAACAGAACGACTGGGTTACCTGGGTGGCTCAGTTGTTTAAGCGCCCAAGTCTTGATTTCCACTAAGGTTGTGATCTCAGGTTGTGAGGTCGAGCCCTGTGGAGCCTTGCGTCGGCCCTGCACTCATTGTGGAGTCTGCTTGAGATTCTCTCTCTTCCTCTGCCTGCCCCCCACTAGCACTCTCTCTCTCTCTAAATAAAAAAATAAAATCTTGGGCACCTGGGTGGCTCAGTGGGTTGAGCCTCTGCCTTCGGCTCAGGTCATGATCTCAGGGTCCTGGTATGGAACCCCACGTTGGACTCTCTGCTCAGCATGGAGTCTGCTTCCCCCTCTTTCTCTCTGCCTGCCTCTCTGCCTACTTGTGATCTCTGTCAAATAAATAAATAAATAAAATCTTTTAAAATCTTTAAAAAAAAAAGAAAAGTAGTCTAGGTAGACAGTCGTGTGCCCAGCTAAACACTGGAGGTTCTAACAACTGAAAGGAGAAAATGGAAAGTGAGGGACAATTATACTGCATTAAGTTGGTTTTTCAAGTAAGGAGTAAATGGCACTAACAGTCTTAAGATCTGTAATTTCTGAATGTAAGTTAAGCATTCTTGTACTACAAAATTTTTGGTTGGTAACTATCAACTAAAAAATATAGACAGTGTTTGGCCTAAAACATGGCAAATCTTTGTAAGGTTTGGGACATATATGTTTTCCTTTCATTTGGTTTCAGTTGTCTGTAAAGAGTAG